CTTCAGCCCGGCGAGGTACGACTGTACCTTTTCCCCTTCGGCCAGGTCGGGAATGCGGTTATAAAATTCCTCCATCTGCTGCGTGTACTGCGCTACACTCCCGAACTGTCGATGGCGATGATTTTTTTCCCGGGCAAGGAAACCCGAATTTATTGGCTCGAAACGTTTCAGCAGGTCGGTGCGGAACTGCTGCCACGTGGCTTCGCCGTGGATGAACGTGATGTTACCGTCGATTCACTCAAGTGCCGGCGCTCGCCTCAGTGTCGTCGTGAGTCGTACGCGTTGACCGTCCTAGATTGGCGAGCTCCATCCGACGGCTGCGAAGAAGATCTCCATGCCGGCGATCCATCTGCGGGCGTCGGAGTTTCGATCGCTCGGATCGAACGGCTCAGGTGGGCGCGGTTTCGGAGCCTCAAGAAACTGCTGCGACTGCTGCGTCGTCGCCGTTGTTGTTTCGTGTTGCGCTCCGGCGAGTCGAGTTATTCGCTCAAACTCGTTTCGCCACGCTTCGCGATCAGCTCGCATCTCCTCCTGAAGGGCTGCGATGCGCGCGAAGAGCTGCTGGGTAACCTCGGCGTTGTCAAAGTTTGCCATCCTGTTCAAAACACGCGCGGAGGGGGTAATTCGAAAAAACGCGGAGCTGGTGCTTACCAGAATCGGTGTCAAATTGGTCGCCCCTGGCGGTTTTTCGAGGCAGGATCCCCCGGCGGTGCTGCTTAGCTGAGCGCCGCCGAGTGAGAAAAGCTCTGATACCAAGTGTCACAGGATCGAATGTGTCGAGGAAAGGTTGCACTATCGATTGATACAAGGCGCTTTTATACTTCCATAGTACATCAGGTAACCAGGTTTATCTTATCCCAAGGGAATAGACCCTTCTAGAAGATAGAATCACCCTGCGTATAGCCACGCGAGGCTATTGGCTTTAAGGGATTACGGCAGGATTACGCTAGATATAGCGCACCAGTACATCCCGAGCCTGTTCGGTGATATAATAATAATAACATGATAAACCACAGGTTTTTGGAAGAGGAGAAATAGGAATCCAAATGGAATGAGATAAAAACCAAATGGATCAAGATGGAAAGAGGAATGGAAAGGAGAAAGGAATGGAACGGGGTCGTACTCTTACAGTGGCCATAGCAGTGTGCTGTTGCGCGGGGTTTTCTTGGGAGATATCATCGACGCCTGCTTTTGTAATGCTAGCAGGTTTCGAGGTCGAGGATTTGGGGACCTAGCACCAACGGAAGAGACCTTGGAGTCGGTTCTCCACGTCAGGTTCGGTGGGGTGAACGTAACGCTTGTCCCATCGGTCGATCCGTGCGCTTTGGGTAAAATTTGTGCGGGTTTGAGTCACCAGCCAAACCCAGATTGTCGAAGTTAAGTACGAACATGCCATTTTTACTAATGGTGTGTCACTTTCCATCGTAGTGTAGGTGGAACTTTATGTGCACGGTGTCCAATATCAGGTGTACCCTGTACGCATCGGCTGCGCAAGGATGAACATCAGTTTTTCAACATCGAGAACATCGGAGACGACGAATCCAGACTGAAAGTCATTTGACTCGACGTCACTACTGCCATCATCCAGGAGGTGATTGTTATTGGCGACAGTGATCAACATTGTCAATAGGATGGCGAAATCGGCTCAAGGGCACATGGACGCCTGCGCGCGGACGTATGTGCAGAGAGTGGGGGAGGGGGAGGGGGGTGGGCGCTTTCTTTTTGTTCCGGTTGAGCTCCGCTGTAATAGGTCATGTACACGTGGCTTGCCAAAGCTTGGGGATACAAAAAACCTTTCACTTCTACCGACAAATAGGGTATCAAAGAGCCATTCTGTAGGTTTGAACCATGTACATGTTTGAGAGGAACTTCCTGCACATCGCTGCCACTATTGCCCGTAGCAATAGTGCCTTGAGGAGGCGCTTGAGAGGCACTCGAAGCTGGGAAAGCGGGTTGAGATTCCGGGGGGGGACTAACAGCCGCATCCCCTGAAACGGCAGCAAAATCAGCATAATCTATATCAAAAGAGATTGGGAAGACAAAATAAGCCTAGCTAGAAACGACATGCCCTGTTGGCAAAATCGATTTCGCCGGGTGAGCGTCATCATCAGTCACCTGAGGGCAAACAAGCAGAGACAAGCAAGCTAACTCTCCTAATAACGACCAAGAGGTCTATTCAAAAGCTACTGTAGCAGAGGTGACGAGCGGAAAGAGAGCTATCTCGAGGCAACCACCAAAGCTATCCCAGTTATTATGATAATCTCCGGATAGGAGTCGAGTAATGCAATAGTGAGTTCGTGATAAAAAAGTGTCAAGTACAAAGGAGGCACAGGTCTAAATACAAGCACATCTATCCTAGCAAGAGAGCCTCGAGGAAGGCCACAAAACACACGCGAGGTGGTTTGGGGCGCCTCGGGACTCGGAAGTGCCGGACGCGACGCCGCGTGTAGGCTTGGGGTCTCGAACGTAGTTCGAACCTAAATTGTCGGGCCGAGCCTGGACTTCCGAAAGTCAGGGCTGTACTCGATGTTAGCGAGGCTCGATAAGGAAAATGGATATTCCTTATACCAAGCCTCTAACCCTGGAATGCTATCACAAATATGAAAGCATAAATATACAAATGACAGATTTATATTTGCGCAAGCTTATCTGGGATACACATAATGTTCCATGGCGATTTAAGAACTCGGTAGAAGTCCGGCAGCTGGGTGCGAGGGGCTTTGGGATAGGCGCCGTAGGAGACGTAACAGGCGGCGAGGATAGCTCAGGAGCCAGAGGGTCCTGCCAGGGGTGCGTAGCGGGACATGTGGTAGCAAGGTGAGCGAGGAGGGAAGAAAACCACGAGAAGGTTTTGAGAAGAAACTAGTCATAGTGTTTAAAGGGGTAGGAGCATATGGTTTCAGAGAGAGCAGCTTTAGAAAGGGGAGGAAGAAATAAAACGCGATACAATATAGGCGGGTTAGTGGGAGGACGGATTTGGCGAAAAGGGAGGGGAAAGGGGGGATAAGGGAGATGATATTCGATAGTGTATTCCACACTTTCATCATAAGAGATGGAAGAACGTGGAATGGGATACAGATGGATAGAGGGGAAATTGTGGGGAGGCAAAACGCGAAAACGTATGCATAAAGTCAGCAGGCTTGGCTGGCTGATAATGCCCAACGTGTTTAATTGTTATGTGTTGACACAACAACCGTTGAGGCGCCTAAAGAACCATGTTGCACCAGTATAAAATGCCATCTGTCGAGAAACCCACTAGGGTGGCCCTAGAAGATCCTCGGATGGGCCACCGGCTGTTATGCCTGGGGGGTTATGGGCGCGCTAACGCGCTACTAAAACAAGCCCTTTTAGCACAGTGGTTAATGGTTGTGCTTTCTGAGATGGTATCAGAGCCAGAGGTCTCGCGTTCGAATCTCGGTGTGCACTGCAGAAGTCCCAATTCCTCCGCCTACCCAAGCGAGGGGGGGTGTCGAGAGACCCACTGGGGTCGCCCTAGAAGATTCTCGAAAGGGCCACATGCGACTACGCTTGGGGGGTTATGGGCCCACTATCCCGCAACTTTACAAGCCCTTTTAGCACAGTGGTTAGCAACTATGGTTTCTGAGATGGTACCACAGCCAAAGGTCTTGGGTTCGAAACTAAGTGTGCACTGCTGAAGTGCCGAGTCTTACGCCTACCCTAGCGAGGGGGGGTGTCGAGAGACCCACTGGGGTCGCCCTAGAAGATTCTCGGAAGGGCCACAGGCCGCTATGCCTGGGGGGTTATGGGCACGCTGACCCGCTACCAAAACAAGCCCTTTTCGCACAATGGATAGCGATTGTGCAATTAGAGACCATCAATATCCATAAGCATCCCACATTGGACACGCCATAAGGTTAGGCTAGGCTAGGCTAGTCAAACATTTCACCCTCTATCACCTAAGGCTAGGCTAGGCGTACTGTAATCCTCTTTCAAGAAAATGTTTTGTCCACACAACTCTCCGATTGCGTACTTGGTGCGGTACAAGCCCAACACCGCGTCATACGTCAAGGACGCTAACGTTAGCTTTGGGGTATTCATACCCACGAGCAAATGAACAAATGAATACCATTTGAACACACACTAAACAAAAGGAGGGTGCGGTACATCCAACCCTTTTAGGCTTGGGTGGTGGACCCATGAGATTGCGCGACGAGGGTTGGTTGTTGGTTTGCTGGGATGGATGGATGCGACCCTTACATCAACTCAGAAAAAAACAGAAATTTTGAAGGCAACCTTTACCCTTCAGGGCCCCAGGGTTTGGCTCCTACATTTGCTTGGGTGGGTTGGCCAAGGACCCTCCATCGTATGATGGTGCATACTGTCTACTATGGCTAGGTGGCAATTTGCTTATCCTATGTAAAAGGCTCTCCCCCGCCCTCAAGGCAACCATTACCAAACGGGGATGTGCTGCACCCTAAGGGTGTGGAACACTTTTGGATGGGCCTTAGGTTCGATCGGAAAGAGAGGTTGAGAACGTTTTGACGTGATTTGGTGTGGTTTAGTCAGCAACTAAAGTGGTGCAGTATGCCGAATGTTCGATCGGAAGCCGTCCGTGTGAAATGTTCAGGGCGTGTCCAGCGTGTACGTTTGATTGTGGTTGGGTGAGGTGCCTCACGGATCAGAAGGATCGATAAAAAATCTAAAACGGTTGGGTAGGGTTTTGAAAAAAAAAAACGAGCGCGCTGGACACGCCCTCAATGCCCTAACTTCAAAAGTAAACCCTAAACCCTTGTGACCATGGGATGCCACACCCCAGCTGAGGTTCATGGTAACACCAATGTTACAAATTGGTACAAAAAGTGAATCCAGATTTCCATGGGCAGTTCCATCTGCCCTCAAATATATTTCTCCACACATTGGCACGTGTGTATATCCATACAGTTTCATCTGCCCAGTTTGTGATAGCTCCTCCCCCACACAAAGTTCCAGGCCGTTACATCTGCCGGGTCATTGGACACTCCCCGCTCAAAGGTCCAAGCCGTTTCATATTCCTCCCCAAATGACCAGCAGTTCCAGCCTATGCCGTTTCATCTCAGCCTTTTGATTGTGTTGTTCCAGGCCAGGCCGTTTCATCTCATCTCATGTCACGTCATGGATGACATGGCTCCCCTGCTTCACACTCTCTCACGCCTCGCCTCCGCGGATGATCCTCGCGATTCCCTCATGGGATACGCGATCGGGTTACCATACGTCAGCGACGTTTCGCCAATGGTGGTTTCCAGCTTTCGCACACCGCCATACCACAGGCCTAGTAATCTCAAAGATGATCCGATGATCCAGATCTTGACTTATGATGACATCACATAGCCTACTACCCACTTGGGACATCCATCCGACGTCCTTATCCTCCTTTTCTCCCGTCCTAACCCGCGGTACCCGTGTTACGTATGCACTTCGCGTGAAGCAGCGACCGTGGCGGATTTTTGGGCCGGAAATCGGCAAACCTGCGTGCGATTTGATCTGCAAATCTTGAAGGCGTCCGTCGCGCGATGTCGCGGGACGTACAGTCTCGCCGGTTCTCCAACCGGTCGCATCGTGGCTCACGGCTACCCGTCTACACTGACGACGACGACGACGACGCGGCGTTCGAAGCCTGGCTGCTGCAGCAGGAGGGGGAGGCGGGCGGAACAGGCGGAACAGGCGGAACAAGCGGAAGAGGCGGAAGAGGCGGAGTGACGGTCAAAGGGGGGAAAGCAGAGGTGAAACCAGGAAAATCGGAAGTAAAAGCGGGAAAAGCAGAGGCTAAGACGGGCAAAGAAGAGGTCAAATCAGGGATATCGGAGGTCAAAACACGCGAGAAACGCGCGGGTGGCAAGGCAAAGGGGAAACAACCAGAGAAGGCAAAACCGGGTGCTTCCACGCGTGCAAGAGCAGCAGGGGGGGAAAAGCCGGACAGTGCAGTGACCACTGCTGGGGAGGGTGTGGAGGTTGGGGAGGTTGGGGGGAGCAGAGGTGCGGGGAATGGTGAGGGGAAGGATGAGGGGAAGGGTGAGGGGAAGGCGGAGGGGAAGATGGAGGGAAGCGGTGACGGGGGAATAGAGGGTAGGAAGGGGGTAGATGAGGAGGGGAAGGATGAGGTGGATGCTGACGTGTCAGGGGAGGCAGCTGAGGTGGATGCTGACGTGTTAGGGGAGGCAGCTGAGGTGGCTGCGGAGGATGATGACGTGTGTGAGGTGTGCGGGGGCCATGGAGAGTTGCTGATGTGTGACGCGTGTCCGGCTGTCTACCATCTGTACTGCCTGCAGCCGCCGCTCTCCCACGTGCCTGAAGGCTCCTGGTTCTGCCCCAAATGTGTGAGTCTTTTGGCTTCGACATATGGCTGTATGTATGTGTGTTAGCATGTGTGACGCGTGTACGGCTGTTTACCATCTGTATTGCCTGCAGCCGCCTCTCTCTTGCGTCCCTGAAGGCTCCTGGTTCTGCCCCAAATGTGTGAGTCACATCACATCACATGCCATGTGTCCAAAGTGTGTCTGGGTATGTCGGCACATGTGTGCATGTGAACTCGTGTGCATGAGCATGAGGGACGCATGCCCGACAGTGAACCATCTGCCCGACAGTGAACCATCTGCCCGACAGTGAACCATCTGCCCGACAGTGAACCATCTGCACTGCATGCAGCCACCGCTCTCTTGCATGTCTGAAGGCCCCTGGGTCTGCGCAAAACGTGTGAGTCCCGTCACATGGGCACACGTCCAAGTCTGTGTGTTCAGCATGTGTGACAGCCGTACGGCTGTCTACCATCTGCATTACCTGCAGCCGCTGCTCTCTCACGTGCTTCGAGGGCGCCTAAATTTAGAGTATGGCGCCCTGGAGTATGGATTCACATGGGTGAATGCGAGCCCCTGTGTCTCTGGCTGTTTGGGCCTTGCTGTATGCATATTGGGTACGTGTGACGCGTGCCCGGCAATCTACCATCCGAACTGCCTGCACCCACCCACCGCTCTCCCACGTGTCAGAGGGCGCATTCACTTGTTATTTCCTCCCGCTCGCCGCACATGACTCCCAACTTGCGCGGTCCTCTGTCTTCAGGGCCTCCACTGGTCGGCAGTGGAACCATTTCTGGGTGCGAGGGAGAAGCAAATTGCGTGCTCGCTTCGTTTTTCCTCCCTCTCTCACCCCACATGCTTCCTGACTTTTGCTGTCCTCTGCCTGCACTGCAGGGCTATGACTGGTCGTCTGTCGAGCGATTCCTGGGCGTGAGGGAGGTGGAGGGGGGGGGGGAGGGAGGGCGCGGTGAGGGGAGTGAGGGCGGAGTGGATGGGCGGAAAGGAGAGGAGAGTGGTGATGGCAAGAGGAGTCGTGATGGTGGTAGGAGGAGTGGTGATGGTGGTAGGAGTGGCGATGGCAGGGAGAGTGGAGAGCAGGGCGAGAGGAGGCGATGCGAGGAGTATCTGATCAAGTGGAGGGACAGGTCCCACATTCACTGCTCCTGGTAACCTCCTCTCCGGCTCACCCTTGTCTGTTCTCCCTCACACTCCCTCACTCTCCCTTTCTCGCCCTTTCTCTCCCCCAATCCCTGTCTCTCACATGTGCTCTCTTTCAATCCCGCAGTCCCTCACACTCCCCCTTTCTCCCTAACACTCCTCGTCACTCCTCCATATCCCCCTTTCCTTGTCTATTTGTGAGTCAGCCAATGCTCTCCTTCCAAGCTCTCCATGGCTCCACCTTTACCCTTGTCTGTCACATCCACAACCCTTTCCGTTCTCAAGTGTTGCTTGCATGGTGCCACCAGTGGCAGCGGTGCAGGCAGCAGCAAAGAGCTGATGGCTTCGAAACAGCCCCTCCCCAGAGAAGCAGCAGCAAAAAAGAGCTCACTGCCTGCGATAGTAGTTTCGTTCGTCTTCAGTCGTCTCTAAACAGAATTACTACTATCATGCAGTGGCAGCTGGAGCAGCAGCAAAGAGGAAAGAGCTCGTTTCTTGCTGATGGATGGCTTTAAAACCAACTGCCCTGCTCCCACGGACCCCCCACCGTTCCTGCCCCCTCCTTTTCCCCCCTTGAATCCTCTCGGGAGATTTTTTAGTCGACTCAAAAATCACCTTTGAATCCTCTCGGGGTGGCAGCAGCGTGATTTTGGAGGCAGCAGCAAAGAGCTTCCCGGGGCTTATAGCCCAGCTGAGGAACAACTGAAGCAGCGGGCAGAGGCAGCAGCACAGAATGCAACACACAGCCTTTTGATGTCCCTAGCCCTTCTTTCTCCTCCCCTACCCCTCCCAGGGTACCAGCTATGGCAGTGGAGGCAGCAGCAAAAAGCTTCCCGGGGCTTAAAGCCCGGCTGAGGAACTACCTGCGGCAGCGGGCAGAGGCAGCGGCAGAGAGCGCATTGTTTGGGGAAGGGGAGGAGGAGGGGGGGGATGGTGGGGCGGTGTCAGCGCTGCGGCCTGATTGGCTGGCTGTGGAGAGAATTATCAACGCCAAGTGAGTGTTGTGCGTGGATGGATGATCAGTTTATGTCAGATGAAGTTGTGAATGCCTGCCTGGTGATGAATGAATGCGAATGCACTTTGTATCTGTTCCTGCTGCTACTCACGTTCTTGTTACCCTGTTACCTGTACGTTCTCCTCCTGGGTGCCCCCTTCTCCCCTAGTGCGCCCTTTCCCCCATTATGACATCCCCCACTCCACTCGCTCGCCCCCTCATTCTGATTTTCCATCTGCCCTCTGGTCTTTCCAGGAAAAATCGCAAGGGGCAGCAGGAGTACTTAGTTAAGTGGCGGGAGTTGGGATATGAGGAGGCCACGTGGGAGACAGAGGAGGATTTGCGGAGCAAAGGGAGGGGGGCGGACAGTGGGAGGAAGGAGGGGAGGGAGGATGGGAGGACGGCTGGGACGAAGGATCCCGACCAGGGAAAGAAAGGTTCAGGAGGGGAGGGCAATGGGAGAAAGGTCGTGAAGAAAGGAGAAGAGGAGGATAGTGCTGTAGCAGTAGAGGGTTTCGAGGAGGCTCTTAAGGAGTACGGGGAGATGATGGCTAGAGGACCTAAGGACGTGGCATGGGGACTGGTAGGAGGGGGAGGAGCGGGGGGAGGGGTTAGGGAGGCAGATAGGGGAGTGCAGAGGAAGAAGAAGCAGGTTGAGTTCAAGGAGACTCCTGGCTTTCTCAAAGGAGGTCAGTCCGTGCTCCTGCTCCTGCGTACTACTAGCCGAAGCACGCATTATCCTCCTTGTCACTGCGTCATAAGTATTAACCACCATTGCTGGTGAGGTGATTAGTAGGTATGATGCAGGCAATGCTGCATCGTACTGTCTCCATGCTGGGCCTGTCGTGTCTTGGGCATTCATCCTGTTTCCAGCCCGCCCTTGCTATCCGCCCTTGCTCTCACCCTGTCTTGCCTTTACCCACTCCTCTCAATCTTGCTTGTCTCTTCCCCACTTGCCATCCCCGTCTCTCACACTCACTCTCCTTCACGCTTGCTCCCCTGTCCGCCTTCGTTCACCCCCATGTTTCTATCACCCATCTCTCTTCCAAGCTGTCCAAGTTCGCTGCACCCGTATGCGGGTTCACCCACTCACCTCCTGCTTTCACACCCCCCATGTCTTTTTCTTGCTTCCTACCTGTCCAGGTTCGCTGCACCCGTACCAGCTGGAGGGGCTCAACTGGCTGCGGTTCGCGTGGCAGCAGAAGCAGCACGTGATTCTGGCGGACGAGATGGGCCTGGGTGAGTCTTGTGGGGTTGGGGTGGGTGAGTCTTATATGGGGGATGAGCAAGATCTCGAGGGGATGAGCAAAAAAAATTAGGGACTGTTGGAGAACAACCATGGCAGGAAACGCAGCCTGTGATTCTGGCAGGCGAGGTGGGGCTGGGCGGGGTGAGTCACGTGCGGGGTGAGTCACGTGCGGGTTGGGATTGATGGAGTGGGCTTTGCAACCAAGTCAGCAGAAGCAGCACACCACTTGGGCGGATGAGGCGGGGCTGGATGGCAGGCATGGCTCAGAGGCATTGAAAAGGTTGGAATCTTCGATTCGGAGCGTTGCAATGTGCGCTGCTTCCCCCCACACACCCACCCACCTCAGGCAAGACCGTGCAGGCCATCTCCTTCCTGGCGTCGCTGCAAGAGGAGAGGGCCACAGCGCTGCCGCACATGGTGGTGGTGCCGCTGTCCACACTGCGCAACTGGCAGAGGGAGTTCGCAACATGGGCGCCCCAGCTGCGCGTGGTGAGTGCTCAAACCCTAACCGCTCCCCCAAACCCCCATACTCTTTGCCGCGGCGCTGTGGACGCTGCGCAACCGGCAGAGGGAGTTCGCAATGTGGGCGCCCCAGCTGCGCGTGGCTGGTCCTTTACCCTCCGCCCCCACATGCCTTCTCGCTCAAGCCCCTGTGTTCCTTGCTTGCCCCCATCACGTTTTCTGTCCCCAGCCCCTCCATCCATTATGTTCTTCGTATTTCCAGCATTTTTTTTGTTTTTACTTTTTTCTCATTTTGCTCGTTTTCCCCTCTATGGCTCCTCGATCAGTCTATCCGCTCAAGTCCCACTCGTCTCCTCCTTCTCCCCCTCCCAATTAAATAGCAATGGTACAGGCGAGGTAAGCCAGACACGCCTCCTTCTCCCCCTCCCACTCTCTTCTTCCATTTCTGTGTCGCTCCATCTCTCACGTGCAAACTATGTGTATGTGCATGCATGGCTACGTGCAGGCATGTGAGCAGGTGATGTATGTGGGCACGGGTGCAGCAAGAGCTCTCATTCGGGAGCACGAGTTTCCTCCCCTCCCTCCCATTCTCGCCCCTCGCTCACTTCCAAACACTTTTCAGTGTCCCTTTTGTCTCTCTTTCTTACTGCATGTGAGCAGGTGATGTATGTCGGCACGGGCGCAGCAAGGGCTCTCATTCGGGAGCACGAGTTCTTCTTCCCCTCCTCCTACACGCCTCCTCCACCTCCCACCGCTGCTTCGAGGAACGGGGCCAAATCGGGCAAGCATGGCAAAGAGCAAGGGAGGAAGAGCACGCAGGACAAAGGGAGGAAAGGGGGAAGGTCGGGAAGGCATGGTCGGCGCGTGGGGAGTGCACAGCCACAGCTCAAACGCAAGAAGCGGAGCAGGGGGAAGAAGTTTGAGGAATTGTCCTCCTCATCCGATGGTGATGGCGACAATGGGGATGATGGGAACGATGGGGATGATGGGAACGATGGGGATGTGGATGGTACGACGAGCGATGACGAGGTGGAAGAGGTCGAGGAGGTGGACGGGGAGGAAGATGGGTCTGGTAGAGAAGTGGCGGCCGGGGAAGGGGAGGAGGAGAGCGAGGACGAGGAGAAGGGCGAAAGGGAAGGAGAGGGGGAAGAGGAGGAAGAAGAGGAGGAGGTAGAAAAGATGGAGGAAGGGTGGTCTGCCAAGAAGGTGAGAGGCAGGCAGACGGCAAGGAGGGTTTCAGGCAGTGGTGTGGGAAAGAGAGGTAGGGAGGCACAAGAGAGGGGTGTTAGAGGAAGCCAGGAGAGGCGGACGAAGCAGGCAGAGCCAACTAGAGATGGAGGGAAGAAAAGAAGAAGGTCAGGGAAACAGCAGCAGCAGCAGCAGCAGCAGCAGAAGAAGAAGGGGCGAATAAGGCAACGGAGAGAGTTAGAGTCTTCATCAGAGGCATCATTGGATGAGGATGATGAAGAGTATGTGGTGCTGGAGGAGGAGGATGAGGAAGAGGAGGACAAGGAGGAGAGTGAGTTGGAGGAGAAGGAGGAGAGTGAGGAGGAGGAGAAGGAGGAGGGGGAGGAGAGTGGGGATGAAGAGGACGAAGAGGAGGAGGAGCCGCTAAGCAAGCGAGCGAAAGCCAACCGCAGTGGGAGGGGCAAGTCCCACAGCAGGGCAGGTGCAGGGCGCAGCAGCAGCAGGGGAAGTGAGCGCTCTTCCCCTGGCAGTGGGCGCGTGCAGCTGTCGCGGCAGCAGCGCGTGCGGTTCGACGTGCTGCTGACGTCGTACGAGGCGGTGAACAGCGACTCGCAGCACCTGAGGGCGCTGCACTGGGGCTGCCTGATCGTCGATGAGGGGCACCGGCTCAAAAACAAAGAGTCGAAGCTCTTTGGTACCCTGCAGAGCTACAACACGCTGCACCGGCTCTTGCTCACAGGCACGCCCTTACAGGTGAGGCGGTGAACAGCGACTCGCAGCACCTGACGGCGGTGCACTGGGGCTGCCTGATCGTCGATGAGGGGCACCGGCTCAAGAACAAGGAGTCGAAGCTCTTTGGTACCCTGCAGAGCTACAACACGCTGCACCGGCTCTTGCTCACAGGCACGCCCTTACAGGTGAGGCGGTGAACAGCGACTCGCAGCACCTGATGGCGGTGCACTGGGGCTGCCTGATCGTCGATGAGGGGCACCGGCTCAAAAACAAAGAGTCGAAGCTCTTTGGTACCCTGCAGAGCTACAACACGCTGCTCCGACTTGTCCTCACTGGCACACCTTTGCAGGTATGGTGTGCTGTGCTGTGCCGGATAGGCCTGGCTGGCTTATGCACTGGGTGGGTGGGACTGCTTGATAGTGGACGAGGGCCACCCGGCTCAAGAAAAAGGAGTCGAAGCTCTTCAGCACGCTGCAGAGATACAACGTTTTCCATCGGCTGCTGCTTACAGGCACTCCGCTGCAGGTAAGGTGTTGTGCGGTCTCGCATTCAGGGCTGTGGATGAGGGCCGCCGCCAGCTGAGGAACAAGCTCGAAGCTGTTGGGCTGCTGCTGAGCTACCACACACTGCTGCACCGGCTGCTGTTCGCAGACACTCCGAGGCAGGTGAGATTTGGGAGCGAGCTTGCATGTGGAAGGAAGGAAGTGGTATGTGTGTGCCTACAGGCACGCCGCTGCAGGTGGCGTGGACTTCTGTTCTGCATCTTGGCTTCAAGTGCTATGTGTGGCATTTGTGCCGCGAGATAGACTGCCTGCTCACATGCAGGTGAAGTGAAACGGCTCAGTGTTGCAGCTGGCCTTTGTGCTCACTGTCACTCACCTATGGATGCCTGCACTCCGAGACTTTTGAGCCGGCTGAAAAGTCACCTCTGTCACCATACCAATGGATGGCTGCAGTGGGAGACTCACCTTCTCTTTCCCCTTTCTTCGGAACGCTGCCTTCAGTTTCTCCCACCGATCCATTCGCCCCCTCTCTTCCTGCCTACGTTGCTGCTGGCTCCTTTTCCACATTCGCAATATTCAGTCACTCTCGTTCTCGTTCCTTCCCCCTTTCCCCCCTCCCTCCTCTCCCCTCGCCCCTCGCCCGTCTCCCCTCACCCTACCCCCTCCCCCCTCCCCCCCCACCTCCTCTACTCACTGCAGAACAACTTGGACGAGCTGTTCATTCTCATGCACTTTCTCGATGCCGCTAAGGTGAGAGCCGAAATGAGGCAAGAGTGGGGCGAGGTGAGAGGAGGGCACGGGTATGGACGGAGTACAATCCCCCCCCTTGTCACGACCTGTTCATCCTCATCTCATCCACTTTCTCGATGCTGCTGTCGCGAGGCCTTCTCCTCTTTCTCCTAGTAGGACCCTTGTGAGGTGATTCGCACGGTGAAAGATGCATGGTGTATGTGAGGGGGAATGGAGTCTGTCACTGTGACTTTTGAGTCGACTCAGAAATCCAGCAAGCCATTCCTTCTGCAAGAAGAGTTGTGATTGTTTTACCTCTGCCAAGCTGATTCCGCTCGGCCTTTCCCCTCCCAAACCCCTTCCTTCTCCTCCCTGCCTGCCTGCCCTCCCCACTCTCCCCTCATACTCGCTCTTCCATCACTCCCTCTAGATAGTTAGAAACTGAAAATTTCAACTACAAAGGTCCAAAGGCTCAACTACATAGCGAAGGGATGATGCTGGAAAGGGTTGGAAAAGAACCCTAAGCATCAAGCAAGCAAGGATTGGTTGGTCCACAAAGGGACCAATGAGGTTAGACCTTCTTAGGGCCAACCAAATTGGTTCTTCAAAGGACCAATGGGGTGTTGGACCTAATTTGCGGGACCACATTTGTATTGGGGTTGGATAACCAACTCTACCCCACAATATATCTAGCCTAGCAGGGTATATTCTAACATATATGCCACCCCACCCCTCTCTGCACTTCCTTTGGATGTTTCCTTTGTGTGTGGTGCAGTTTGCGAGTCTGGAGGGGTTTCAGGGCGAGTTTCAGCAATTAGGGCAGGAGGAGCAGGTGGCCAAGCTGCACCACCTGCTGGCGCCGCACCTCCTCAGAAGTAAGCAGATATGAAACCCTAAGCTGAAACTAAACCTTACACCCTGAACCTCAGACTTTAAAACTTTGGCTCTGAAGCTCTAATTTCCTCCCCTTAGGCTTACACGTGCTCTCCTATGTCTCCAGGTCTACAGAGGGGCGTGCTTCGACAGATGCAGCCTAGAACGAACTTGTACTTCATGTATGTGGCCTCATATGGCTTCCTTTTCCCAGTTCCTCCCCCCTCACCCCTACTCTAGGGTTATAGAAGGATGTACCCCCTTCCGTCTCCTCCCCCCTTACGTCTCCCCCCCCCTTCCTCAGGGCTAGAGAAGGACGGGCTGCACCAGATGCCGCCCAGGAAGGAACAGACATAGCGAGCAGAATTGAATCACGCACCCTCTGTTGCGCCACTTCCTTCCCTCCTCTCTCCCCACATTTTCCTTCCAGGGCTCAAGAAGGACGTTTTGAAGCAGATGTCCCCCAATGAAGGAGCAGTTTACACTGGTGACTTTCTAAGATTTTATCAAAGGCTCATATTGCGTGCACTTATCGCCTGCCCCTTTAACCCTCAAACCACCCCCCCCCCCCTTCCCCCCCACCCTCACCTTATCTTCCAGGGCTAAAGAAGGACGTGTTGAAGCAGATGCCGCCCAAGAAGGAGCAGATTTTGCGGGTGGACTTGGCGCCGCTGCAACGATCGCTGTACCGCGCCGTGCTCACGCGCAACTACCAGGCTCTCACTAAAGCCTCAGGGCAGCAGGTGAAAGAAGTAGCATTACAACTACAGGTACCTTCATGCATGGCCTGCTGGCCCGCTGTACCTTGCCGTGCTCACACGCAACTACCAGGCACTTATCGAGGCGTCAGGGCAGCAGGTGAGGGTTGTGTTGGCTTACAAAAACATCCAGTCAACAGGTGAGCCAACAAGAGCTCGTTAATGTAGCTATCACTGTGCTGTTCTCGTTGCCAACAAGGGCTCATCACTGTGCTGTTCTCATCACCGGGCTGCTCTCATCACTGTGTTCTCGCAACGCAAGAGAAAGGTGCACTTACCAGGCGCTCACCCAGGCTTCAAGGCAGCAGGTGAGGTGAATTCTGCGATATTCTGAGGCTCAGCCACACCATGATGCAGCTGAGAAAGGTGCACTGCCCTCTCCTGGATCTATCCTCTCTTTAACTTTGACCCTATATCCATCACCTCCTGTTTTTCAACCCCCCCTTGCCAGGTGTCGCTCACCAACGCCATGATGCAACTAAGGAAGGTGTGCTGCCACCCGTTCCTGGTGGAGGGGGTGGAGGAGCAGCATGGGGGGGGCGCAACACCGGCAGAAGCCAGTCGGTAGGGCGTGGGGAAGGGGTGGGAAGGGGTGGGAAGGGGTGGGAAGGCTGGGTGGGAGGGAGGGGTGGGAGGGGTGGGAGAGTTGGGGTAGATGGTGGGGACAAGGGAATACGATCGATGGGCTGTTGAGTCCTGGTGGTGGGAGTGGAGGAGCAGCATGAGGGCGGAGCAACGTCGGCAGAAGCCTGTCGGTAGGGCGTGGGGAAGGGGTAGGAAGGCTGGTTGGAAGGGGTGGGAAGGGGTGGGAAAGGGTGGGAGAGGTGGAGTAGATGTTGGGGAAAAGGGGGAACAGGGGAGGGGTCTTGATTCCTCGTGGAGGAGGTGCAGGAGCAGCATGGAGGGGGAGCAACACCCGAAGAAGCCAGTCGGTAGGGCGTGGTGAAGGGAGGGATGGGAGTGGTAGGGGCTAGGCGGTAGGGCATGGAGAAAGGGAGCGGTAGATTTGGCAGGTGGTATTTGGTAGGGCATGGGAAAGGGCGGGATAGGAGTGGCAGGGGCTATACAGTACGGTATGGGGAAGGGTGGGATGGCATGGCAGTGGTAGAGGCTATTTGGTAGAGATGGGTGGTGGGCTATTTGGTAGAGATGGGTGGTGGGCTATTTGGTTGAGATGGGTGGTGGGCTATTCGGTAGAGATGGGTGGTGGGCTATTTGGTAGAGATGGGTGGTGGGCTATTTGGTAGAGATGGGTGGTGGGCTATTTGGTAGAGATGGGTGGTGACATTCACTTCCACCACTGAGGCTATTTCATGTGCGTTGCGTGGGTGGGGCATCAGTGGCAAAAGCTAGTTGGTAGGGCATGGGGAAGGGAGTGATTGGAGTGAATGTCCCCCATCATTACGCCTCCTGACTCCCCCCCATTCGTTACCTCTCCCCTGTCCCTCATCACTACCCGCCCAGTCGCATGGTAGCAGCGTCGGACAAGCTGGCCCTGTTGGAGCGAATGCTGCTGCGACTCAATACAAGGCCCTTCACTTTCTCTCCGTCTCCCTCCCCCTTTCCCCTGTCCCATGTCCCGTGTCCCCCCCATCTATATCCCGCCCAGTCGCATGGTAGCAGCGTCAGACAAGCTGGCCCTGTTGGAGCGAATGCTGCTGCGACTCAATACAAGGCCCTTCACTTTCTCTCCGTCTCCCTCCCCCTTTCCCCTGTCCCATGTCCCGTGTCCCCCCCATCTATATCCCGCCCAGTCGCATGGTAGCAGCGTCGGACAAGCTGGCCCTATTGGAGCGCATGCTGCTGCGGCTCAAGGTGGGGGGCCACCGCGTGCTGGTCTACTCGCAGTTCAAGCGCATGCTAGACCTGCTGCAGGAGTGGCTCATGGGCAAGGTAGGTGGGGTGGGGTGGGGGGGTGTGAGCGCATGGACAGCTGCCGCCTGCATCATCAGTGGGTCGGAACACCAGCGGCGCATCAAGGGGAGCATTTGTCACCTCTGGGCGGGCTGCCTCTCCTCCCCATCCCTCCGCATGTAACAACTTTCCATCACACAGGGTTGGGGGTGCGAGCGAGCGCATCGACGTCAGCATCAGCGGTTCGGGCCGGCAGCAGCGAATTGACCAGCACAACGTGCCGGGGCCAACCCATTTCGTATACTCCGTTCTCTCCTTTCCCCAACCCAACTCCTTGTACCTCAGGGCTGGGGCTGCGAGCGCATAGACGGCAGCATCAGTGGGTCGGACCGGCAGCAGCGCATTGACCGATTCAACGCGCCCGGGTCGACTCGCTTTGTGTTTCTCCTCTCCACACGCGCTGGCGGCCTGGGTATCAACCTGGCCACCGCTGACACCGTGATTATATACGACAGGTATTTTTTGTGTTTCTTTTTCCGCCAGGTGCGTCTCTCCTGCTGGGGATTAACCTGGCCACAGCACAGCAGACACGGTGATTATATACGATAGGTACAGGAAGTGTGATTAGATATGACAGACAGAACTACTGGGTTTTTAATACCTCAGGAACAATCCCGTTTGTGCTCCCCCTCTCCACTCCCGCTGGGGGCCTAGCCGCCTAGGGATCAGCCTGGCCCTGCAAAACAGCAGTTTGTCTGTCCAAACTTCACCCATTCTGCTGTGCCCCTCCCACCAGCAACTGGAACCCGCTCGCCGAAACTGCAAGCCATGGCGCCCCAAACGCCTGACTGCCTCTCACTTCAGCTTTCTACCCCCCCAACCTTCCATGCGTCGCGGTTGTGCCCCTCCCACCAGTGACTGGAACCCGCATGCGGACCTGCAGGCCATGGCTCGAGCGCACAGGCTGGGGCAGACCCAAACGGTGACAGATTTGGGGGGGCATGTGTTTGCCGTGCCTTGCCTGTGTATGGTGACTTTCGGCCAGGACAGGACAGTCAACATGGAATCGGGTGACTTCAATCCGCATGCGTGTTTGCTGGTTATGGCTTGAGCACACGGGCTGGGGTAGACGGAAGCGGCGAGGGGCTGTGAATGTGTGTGTGGGGGGGCCGAGAAAGGGAGTCTGCGGCAGACACAGCCAGTGAGGGCAGTGTGTGCGCGTGTGTGTGTGTGTGCGCGCGCGTGCGCGTGTGTGTGTGCGTGGGTGGGTGTGGGTGGGTGTGTGGGGAGGGGGGGGGGCGTTTGTGTGAGGGTTTGTGTGTGTGCATGAGAGCGTGTGTAGGTGCACCAGGCAACCAAGTAAGTACCTGTATGGGAGTGCATGCGTAAGTGTATATGTATGTATATGCGCGCGCACACTTAAATGTCCCCCTCTGCGAGTGGGTGCCTGCACATACTGAAGCATGCGCCTTTGTGCGTACGCATTGTGCCTCACGTGTAGACATGAGCAAAATAAATCGCATCTTATCGCAAAAAAACGTTTTTTTCTGCGATTGCGATGTTTTTTTTGTTTGTTTCCTTTCAGAAAATCGCACGGTTTTTTTAAATCGCTTTTAATCGCGCGCAAAAAAATGCGATATACACGCGATATGCGATTTTTCTTAAAGCGAGGATCTCAAGAAGCGTGAAACCAGATCCAAAGGTTTTGGTTTTGGGTTGGCGAAATGAGCGAAACAGTAACAGTGACCCCCCAACACCCCTCACCACACCTCGCAATTTTCGCGACCCCTCGAAACCAAAACCTTTGGGTTTGTTTTTTTGCTTCTTGAGACCCTCGCTTTAAAGTGCGCATGATGTCTGTGGTTTAATGTGCAGGCAACCCATTTTTTTGGGGTCCTTTCGGAAGGGTTTTCTTTCTGGCCAGGAAAGCGATGTGATTTTATGTCGCATCGCGCTATTTTTAAAATCATCGCATGCAATCTTATTTTTCATCGCACTCTAAACGCAATGTGCGATTTACAGTTCCCGAATTTTTTAGTTGTGCGATGCGTCGCATCGCTTTTTTTAACATCGCCCCCATCGCGATGCTATTTTAATCGCAATCGCGCTTTGATAATGTCTACTCACGTGTTGTCGCCCATCCCTCCGCAGGTGATGATCTACCGGCTGGTGACCAGAAATACAGTGGAGGAGCGCATGCTGCAGACAAGCAAGAAGAAGATGGTGCTGGAGCACGTGGTGGTGGGCAAGCTCAAGCAGCCCAACCTCAACCAGGTGGGCGGCAGGCTGATTCTCAACCAGGCTGATGGCAGGCAACCTCAACCAGGTATGTGAGATGTAGTTTGCGAGATGCGGGTGGATGCTGAACATGATGCCGCAGTGACTGTTGCTTGCGGGTCAAGAAGAAGACGCCGCTGGAGCACGTGGTGGTGGGCAAACTCAAGCAGTCCAACTCAACCAGGTGGGCGGCAGGCAACCTCAACCAGGTGGGTGGCAGGCAACCTCATCCAGGTGGGCGAGATAGTTGTGTGAGTGCGATACACATGAGTGGATGCCAAACATAATGATGACTTTGAAACCGGAATGATGAGACCGACAATCACCACCGCAAGCATGAGGATACACACACTAGCGGCTAGCGACTAGCCTAGAATCCCATAACTTGTTCTTTTTTTAAATGGCAGCTGTCAATTGGCTTGTTTGGTACTGTGTGACTATTTCTGTGTGACTATACAGGAAGAGCTGGATGACATTCTGAGATTCGGGGCGAAGGAGTTATTCGAGGAAGAGAACGAGGAGGAGGAGGAAGAGGAGGAGGGGAAGAAGGAGGGGAAGGAGGAGGAGGCAGAAGGTGTGAAGGAAGGGGAAGAGGGGGCGTTGAAGAAAGCGATGGGCGGGGAGGAGGAGGCAGGAAGCAAGGCTGGAGAAGGCATAAAAGATGCTCACAAGGATGCTGACAAGGATGCTGACAAGGATGCTGACAAGGCTGCTGACAAGGATCCTGACAAGGATGCTGACAAGGCCACTGACAAGGATGAGAAGGCAAAGGGGAAGAAGAAGGAGAGCCGCCGGATCTTCTACGATGATGCTGCCATCGACAGGTTCGTCGATGCCTTGTGCTAAAGATAGTTTCTAGGACATTTCAGGTTATCGTTAGGGCATGTGAATTATCCGTAATGGCATTCGTCCTCTCTTCCTTCTCCGCTCTCCTCTTCCCCCTCCCATCTCCTCCTCCTTGTCCTTTGCCCCTGTCCTCTCCTCCCTGCCTCTCCCTCGGTCTCACCTCAGGCTGTTGGACCGCAGTGCAGTGGGCGAGGCAGAGGCAGGGGATAAATCGGACTTGTTGAGAGGCACCTTAAAGCACACCCCTTTCTCCTCCCCACTACCCTAACTTTCTCTGCTCCCTGCCTCTTCCTCTGTCTCACCGCAGGCTGTTGGACCGCAGTGCAGTGCGCGAGGAGGAGGCAGAGGACGAGCCGGATAACGACTACCTCAAGGCGTTCAAGGTAATTACGAGAGGATAGACTGCAAGGCACACAGATAACAAGTAAGGCTGCCTCTCCTCGCAGTGCGGTGCGCGAGGAGGAGGCAGAGGACGAGCCCGATAACGACTACCTCAAGGCGTTCAAGGTAATTACGAGAGGATAGACTGCAAGGCACACAGATAACAAGTAAGGCTGCCTCTCCTCGCAGTGCGGTGCGCGAGGAGGAGGCAGAGGACGAGCCCGATAACGACTACCTCAAGGCGTTCAAGGTAATTACGAGAGGATAGACTGCAAGGCACACAGATAACAAGTAAGGCTGCCTCTCCTCCAGGGTTGAAAAAAAAAATGGCGTTTTTTTATTTTCAGTCCGTTTGCTACAGAACCGTATTTTTCGGCCGTTTTATTCGGTATAAAACAGTTGAAGATATCTGATTATTTTTTTGTAAAAAAAAACGGCCAAATTTTTCCCCAAAAAAAAAGAGAAAAAAATACTGGCGAAATGCGCCGATCTGGCATTTCGCCAGCTGATATGCGCAGATCTGGCATTTTTCCTGCCAAAATGTGTTGGATCCCACGTTTTGGCGGACGAAATGCACAGATCTGACATTTCGCCCACTAAAATGCGCGGATCTGGCAGACGTTTCGGCTTTCTACGAAATGTTTTTTTTTTTTTTCCAGAGTGTCCTATTAAAAATTCGGCGTTTTTTTCCCAAAATCACCGAAAAAAACGATGGAATAAAACAGCCTGCCGAAATTTTCCACCTTGCTCTCCTCGCAGTGTGGTGCGCGAGGAGGAGGCAGAGGACGAGCCCGATAACGACTACCTCAAGGCGTTCAAGGTCATCCCTAAGACCTGGAGGGCAAAGCAGGCTCCATGCAGATAGCGTCTGTGGCACTATGTGAACGGTGAACCTCCTTGGGATTTGAATCGATCCCAAACCTGAAGCCAGTCTCAAGGCATTGGAAGTAATTCGATCTGCGCAAGCGATCCCCTTCTTTGTCCACTCCTGTCCCGCTCTTTTTTTGTTTTCGTGCCTTACAAAACAGACCAAGTCTTTAATCTCTGCCCTCCTGTCGCCCAAACTTCCCCTGCTACCGGTTGCGAGTGTCAGCTTTGTGTCCGAAGCAGAGCAAGCAAAGGCAGATTCAGAGAGGGAGTGAGAACTGGAGCGGGAAGAGCAAGTGAGAGGGAAAGGGGAGGGGAGAAACAAGCTCAATCTTTCCCCTGTCTTGTATTGCCCGAATGTTCCCTCCCGCAGGTTGCGAATTTCAGCTTTGTGTCGGAAGCCGAGCAGGCAGAGGCAGACGCAGAGCGGGAGAGAGAACTGGAGAGGGAACGAGCACGAGAGAGGGAAATGGAGGGGGGGAAAGACGGCAAGCGCATGGATGCGGCAGGGAGAGCAGCTTACTGGGAGTCACTGCTGAAAGATCGATTCGAGGCGGAGCAGATAGAGACGTTTATAGAGATGGGGAAGGGGCGGAGGGCAAGGAGACACGTGGATTACACGCTGGGAGGGGAGGAGGAGGAGGGGGGGAAGCCAGGGGGGAGGAAGGGGGAGAAGGGGGGAAGAGGGGAGAGAGGGGGGAAGGGGAGGGGGATGAGGCGTATGACGAGGATGGGGAGGAGGATGATGGGGAGGAGGAGGGGAGTGAGGTGGAGCTGGAGGAGGAGAGTGTGAGGAGGGGGAGGAAGAGGAAAGTCAGGTTTGGAAAAACGGTACCCTCCTCCTCCCCTACTGCTGCTGCCGCTGGGCCTGGGGGGGTGGCCGGGGCGGAGGGCAGGGTGGGAGGGGTGGGAGGTGTGGGAGGAGGGGGGAGTGGAGGGGAGGGGAGGAGGAAGGCGTGGCCGTTGATGGAGGGGGCGTGGCCGTATTTGAAGGTTCTAGGGTTCACGTCCAAGCAGCGCATGTCCTTCCAGCAGCTCATCATGCGGTGAGCTGGGGTTGTCTCATCTCTCTCTACTGCATGGGTTGGGAGGGAAGGAGGAATTTCTCACGTTTCAAAATGGCTCTTGGTTGGAACAAGTGAATCAAGCATTGCTGGAAGGTAGACTGTGACTCAGATGGACCACACGCAGAGAGCTGATTCGATCAGGCCACAAGAGCTGATGTGCGGCCTGGCTGACGTGACTCGTTGCACTCTCTGTCCATGAGAGCAGGAGTTCGTTGTCACTCACACACACCTCACTCTCTTTTCTGCCCCTCTTCCTTCTCCCCTCCATCCCCTCACAGGTTCGGGCTGGGCGATTTCAGCTGGAAGGAGTTTGTGCCGCGACTTAGGCCGCGCACGCTGCAGGAGATTAAAGAGTGAGTTGTTTTTACGCTGCAGGAGATGAAAGAGTGAGTTGTTTTTACGCTGCAGGAGATTAAAGAGTGAGTTGGTTGTTTTACCCGACTTCAATTTCACCCTCCAGTGGAGTACAGAGGGTGTTCAAGCCTCACATGGCTCCCTGTGTAAGTTGGTTTGTGCCGCATTTAGAATCCGCCTGCAGGAGATTATTGTAGTGTGTCCGTAAGTTCGTCTGCGTTTTTGGTTCATGGAATCTTGGTTCTGTGCCATATGTTCCTCCCTCATCTTACCTAACTTTCTTGTGTCTCGCCTCTCCTCCCTTTTGTCTCCCTCTCCTCTGCCCTCTCCCTCCCCACCCCACCCCCCCCTCTTCTCTCCCCCCCCCGCCTCCTCCTCCCCCTCCCAATGTAGCTATGGTGCTCTCTACCTGAAGCACATACAGGAGGAACCGACAGACCGCGACACTTTCTCAGGTGCCTTGCAATGCAATGCAACTTCTCCTCTCGCTCCGCACTCCTTTGAATGGCTGCACTGCACCTCTCCTCCCCTCCTCCTGACAGCTTCAGTCTCGTGCATGCAGCACCACGCATGCAGCGCCACGCATGCAGCACCATGCAAGCAGCACCATCACCATTCGTCTATCCTCTAAACGGCACCATATCTCCCATTCATCGCACGCCTTTAGAACATTCCCCCCCTCCTTTCCCCTCTTGCCTTCTGTTTCCTCCTACTCTCTTGCCTTCTGTTTCTTCCTACTCTCTTGCCTTCTGTTTCTTCCTACTCTCTTGCCTTCTGTTTCTTCCTACTCTCTTGCCTTCTGTTTCTTCCTACTCTCTTGCCTTCTGTTTCTTCCTACTCTCTTGCCTTCTGTTTCTTCCTACTCTCTTGCCTTCTGTTTCTTCCTACTCTCTTGCCTTCTGTTTCTTCCTACTCTCTTGCCTTCTGTTTCTTCCTACTCTCTTGCCTTCTGTTTCTTCCTACTCTCTTGCCTTCTGTTTCTTCCTACTCTCTTGCCTTCTGTTTCTTCCTACTCTCTTGCCTTCTGTTTCCTCCTACTCTCTTGCCTTCTGTTTCTTCCTACTCTCTTGCCTTCTGTTTCCTCCTACTCTCTTGCCTTCTGTTTCCTCCTACTCCCTACCCTTGTCCTTGTCACCCTGCTGCTCCTCTCCTCTTTCCCCGCTCCCATCTGACTACGGTGGCTTCTGATTGGCCTTGACTCGATACTTCTGTTCGTCTCTCCTCCCCACGTCCTACTTCTCCCTTTTTGGTACCGCAAAGAGTGCCCAAGGAGGGGGCATCTCTGTCAGGAGGTGCTGCTCCGTCTGGCCCTGCTGCACCTGGTTTGAGCCAAGGTGACTTCTAATAGACTGTGTTCTTCCCCCTCTCCATCCCCCCTCCTGCTCATTCCCCACCAGACTAAGTATCCCAGGAGGGTGTTCCCCTCAAGAGGCGCTGATCCGTCTAGCCCTGCTGCACCTGATTCGAGCCAAGGTGAATTCTGCACGGAGTAAGCATCCCTTTGTCTTTCCTCCTCTCTCTCCCTTTCCTCTCCTTATCAGACGGAGTTCCCAAGGAGGGCGTGTCCCCTCAAGAGGTGCTCATTCGCCTGGCCCTGCTGCACCTGATTCGAGCCAAGGTGACTTCTGTTGAGAGGGAGAGGGAGAGGAGGAGGACGGAGAAGAGGGCAAAGGAGAAGAGGGAGAGGGAGAAGAGGGAGAAGGAAAAGGGGGAGAAGGAAAAGGGGGAGAGGGAAAAAGGGGAGAAGGAAAAGGGGGAGAGGGAAAAGGGGGAGAGGGAAAAGGGGGAGAGGGAAAAGAGAGAAGAGGAAAAGAGAGAAGAGGAAAAGAGAGAAGAGGAAAAGAGAGAAGAGGAAAAGAGAGAAGAGGAAAAGAGAGAAGAGGAAAATGCGGAAATGGAGAAGTTGGGACAAGAGGGGGGAATTGCGGAGGCAGAAGCATCATCTGGTGGAAAAGCCGAGGAAGGGGGTGCAAAAGCCGTGGTGAACAGCAGTGGGAGTGGAGAGGTGGGGCACTTGACGCTGCAGGTGGGGGAAGAGGAGCCAGGGAAAGAGCACGGGGAGGGTGCTTCCGGGAAGCGGGCTGTCGCTAAAGAGGAGCCGGAGGGAGAAGTGAAGATGGAAGAAGAGAAAGACGAAACTTCGACGGAAGTTGGCAAGGGAAAGGGGGTAGTGGCTAAGGAAGAGCCGGGGGGGGTAAGGATGATGGAGGAAGAGAAAGACGAAACGCGGATGGAAGATAGCAAGGGAGAGGGAGAGAAGGGAAAGGGGAGTGCGGCTAAGGAAGAGAAGGATGAAACGCGGAGGAGAGAAAGCGCAGGAGAGGGAGAGAGGGGAAAGTGGGGCGTGGCTAAGGAAGAGCCAGAGGGAGCGGTGAAGAAGACGGAGGAAGAAAGGAAAGTTGAAACGCGGACGGAAGAAATCCAGGGAGCGAAGGAGACGGGGAAGGAGCAGGAGGCGAGGAAGGAGGAGGAGGAGGTGGGGGATTTGGGGTGGGACGAGCTGCTGCCAGGGCTTCCGGACTACATGAAGGCTCACAGCCAGCTGGCCTCGCTCTTCCGCACACGGCACTGGCGGGCAGCGCACGACCTGAAGCTGCTCAAGGGCATCACCAAGTGAGTGGTAGGGGGGGTTGATTTGATGCAGTACTCAAGGGCATCACCAAGTGAGTTGTGGGGGGCACATGCGTGATTTTCACTCTGTCTTGTGCGTACCATCCTCCCGCCCTCATCTCCCCATCATCCATCCCACTCAGGCACAGCTACAGGCGGTGGGTGGGTGAAATGGTCAACGATGAACTACCAGGCACAAGGCACACGCATGGTTTCCAGTCCGCCTAGTGTCTACCATCAACCATCAACCCTCTTCATCTCCTAATCCCCGCACCACATCCCACTCATGCATCTTCAACGATAAAGGGTTTGCAGGCGCACGCATGGGTTCCCTTCTGCCTTGTGTCTACCATCATCCCCCCTCATCTCCCCCTCCTCCAATCCCACCCAGGCATGGCTACGGGCGGTGGAGTGACATCATCAATGACGAACAGCTGCGCCTTGCTGACGTGGCACGCACTGAGCTGTCGCTGTCGGCCGCCCCGCCCCGCAATATGATTGGCTTTGCCCTTGAAGACATCCCGCCCTCCTCACCTCTCCCAACTGCCACCTCATCAGCTCAACCCACCATCCCACCAGGAGCTGCCCCCTCCGCAGCTGCGCCCGCCATCTCAACTGCGCCCGCCAACTCAGCTGTGCCCGTGGCCACATCAGCTCAACCCACCATCCCACCAGGAGCTGCACTCGCTACCTCAGCTGTTAACGAGGAGGGGAGTGGAGAGGTGAAGAGAACTCCGAGTGAGGACGATGGGATTGTAGTTGGCGGTGCTGTCGGTTCGAGCGGTGCTGGTGCTGCTGGTGCCAATGTTGATGGGATGGTTACAATACAAGCAGCGACAGCAGGTGGCTTAGCAGTTAAGGTGGAGCCAACGGGAGAAGAAGGGGCTGCACAGGAAGCGAAAACGGAGGGAGGAGAAGAGAAAGCGGGAACTGTATCAAAGGACGGGGCTGCTGAGGTCGCAACGGAGGAAGCAAAGGAGGGAGCAAAGGAGGAAGCAACGGACGAGTTGAAGGAGGGAGCAAAGGAGGGAGGGACGGAGAAAGTGAAGGAAGAAAAGGAGGGAGCAACGGAGGAAGTGAAGGATGGAGCAAAGGAGGAAGTGAAGGAGGGATCAAAGGAGGGAGCAAAGGAGGGAGCAAAGGAGGAAGTGAAGGAGGGATCAAAGGAGGAGGGAGTGAAGGATGAAGCAAAAGAGGGAGCGAAGGAGGAGGGAGCGAAGGAATCAAAACTAGACGGAGTGTTGGGAGCAGCTCGGGACAGTGGGCGCAGTGCCGCTGCAGAAACGGTGGCTCTTACTGCAGCACCTGCAGCATCTGCAGTGCCAGGACAAGTTCCTGCAGCTGCCACACCCGCTGTCGCTGCAGCAGCACCTGCAGCAGCACCTGCAGCAGCAGCAGGAATGCCGGTGCCACAGCACTTGCAGGCGCAGGTGCCAGCGGGCAAGCGGCTGCGCCCGTGGACTCGCGAGGAGCACCTGGCATGGAGCGCGGCGCAGAAGCGCCTGGTGGAGTTCGGCAAGCGGCGCATCGAGCTGCTGTGCCGCGCACTCAACCTCGAATACCACCAGAAGACTGCTGCTGCTAGTAGCGGCTACAGCGGTGGTGCTGCTGCTCCTGCTACTGCTGGTGCTAGTGCTTCTGGTCGCACTGTTGCCACCGGTGCTTCTGCTGCTGCTGCTGCTGCTGCTGCTTCTGGCAGGGGTACCCATGCAACCGTTTCTGACAAAGGCGCTGCTGCTGCTGCTGTTGCTTCTGCTGGTGCAACTCCCCCACCTGTCGCACATGCACCACACGCACCACCCGCGCCACACGTGGCACACACAGAACGTGCAGCGGGCCAGTTGGCCCGAGAGAAACTAGCGTCACATGCAGCAGTACAGCCCACTCAAGCATCTCACACAGCTCATGCTGCAGTATGGCTGAGTCAAGCGCCTCACATGGCGAATGCAGCAGGGCATGGGAGCAGCAGCGGTGGCAGCAACCCAACGCTGCAGCAGCCACAGCAAGGGAGGGAAGGCGGCGGGGAAAAGCTGACTCGGCAGCAGCAGATTGAGCAGCTTTATCAGAAGCTGTTTCACGATCCAGTTCGGCCGCCGCAGCAGCAGCAGCAGGAGGAGGAGCAGCTGAGGCGGCGGCAGGAGCAACTGCAGCTGCAGCAGCAGTTGCGGCAGCAAGAGCGGCTGCAACGGCTTGAGCAGCAGCAAAAGCTAGAGCAGCAGTTACGTGCCTTGTACCAACAGCAGCAGCAGGAGCAGCTGAGGCAGCAGCAACAGCAGCAACAGCAGCAGCAGCAGCAACAGCAGCAGCAGGAGCAGCAGCAGCAGCAGCAACAACAGCTAGAGCAACGGGTGCGTGCCGTGTACCAGCAACGGCAGCAGCAGCAGCAGCAGTTAGAGCAACAGTTACGTTCCTTGTACCAGCAGCAACAGCAGGAGCAGCAGCAGCGGCAGTTGCAGCAACAGCAGCGATTGCAGCAACAGATACAGCAGCAGCAACAGCTAGAGCAACAGTTAAAGCAACAATTACGTGCATCCTACCAGCAGCAGCACCATCAGCAGAACCTTCAGCAGGTGGTTTCAGCTCTGACCGCCGGAACCACTGCCCTTTCCTCTCTTGCCTCTTCCCTGCCCGCCTCCTCTCCTTCCCTCGCCCCCTCCCTGCCCGCCTCTTTTGCCTCTCTGCGTGAGTCTGCAAGGCTCTCTCAGCTGAACCGCACTGCTGCGGTAGGCTCTACTGGTGCGGGCAGTACTGGGACAGGTGCCATGCGGACAGGTGGCATGGGGACAGGTGGCATGGGGACAGGCGGCATGGGGACAGGTGGCATGGGGACAGGTGGCATGGGGACACGGGGCATGGGGACAGGTGGCATGGGGACTGGTGGCATGGGGACAGGCGGCACGGGAACAGGCGGAATGGGGACAGGCGGCATGGGGACAGGCGGCATGGGGACAGGCGGCATGGGGACAGGCGGCATGGGGACAGGCGGCATGGGGACAGGCGGCATGGGGACAGGCGGCATGGGGACAGGCGGCATGGGGACAGGTGCTGCTGAGTTGGGAACCAGTGGGACGGGAACCAGTGAGATGGGTAGCTTGGAAGCGATACAGACGGCAATGCAAGTAGCAGCCGAGTTGAAGAGACGGCAGCAGCAGCAACAGCAACAGCAGCAGCAGCAGCAGCAGCAGCAGATGGGGGTGGGGGTGTGGCAGCAGCTGCAGGAGCAGCGGTTGCTCCAGAAGGAACAGCCGGACATCGCAAGGAAGATGCAGCAGGCCCTGCAGCAGCAGCAACAGTTTCAGCAGCAGCAACAGACCCAGCAGCAGCAGCAGCAGCAGGCTCAAAATCAGCAGCACGTGGATTCTATAAGCTCTGTCCCTTGGACTGAGCCATATGTGATCGGCACACCCGCCACTCATGCTGCTGCTGCTCCACCTGCTGCCATGGCTGCTGCTCTCAGCACCCGCCTGCAAGCTGACTCTGCCTTGAAGGCACCTCAATCTCATCCTGTCTCAGCGTCCAACGCACCTCAAGCCCAACCTGACCACGGGTCCAAGACGCCTCACAACAGCAGCGCCCAAGCTGACTCGGCGTTGAACGCTCCTGAAGGCCAACCCGACTCTGCCAGTGAGGCGCCTCAAGAGCAAGCGGAGTGTGACCCGTATGTGGCGCTCATACGCCGCCTCAATGCCGAGGCTGATGCCGCTGCAGCATCAGGGGAGAATGCTTCTGCTGATCTTGAGGACGAACCAGCTGTAGCAGCTGTAGCAGCAGCCGAGGGTGCATTTGCTGATCTTGAGGTGGAGGCTGTAGCAGCAGGGGAGAGTGAGAGTGTACCTGTTAATCTTGCGGGCGAACCAGCTGAAGCAGCAGGAGGGGGTGAGGGTGCACGTGCTAATCTGGCGGGTGAGGCTGTAGCAACAAAGGGGAGTGAGGATGCATCAGCCACACTCTCGCATGCCCCGGCTGTAGCAGCAGCATCGGGGGGTGAGAGAGCATCTGCCAGTGTCTCGCATGTCCCGGTTGTAGCAGCACCAGCAGGCGGGAGTGAGAGAGCATCTGTCAACCACTCCCATTGCCCGGCTGTAGCAGCAGCAGCAGGGGGGAGTGATAGGGCTGAGATTATCGCTGCGATGGCGGCTGCGTCTGCTAAGCTCAGAAGGGGTCTTTCTGGAGCAGGAAAGTGTGAGGCGCCAGCAGCAGTTGGAGCGTCTGGTGCAGCGAGGAAGTCTGGAGCAGCAAAAGATCCTGGTGCAGCTCAAATGCCTGGTGTGGCAGTAGAGCCTGGTGCTGATCCTGGCAGAGCAGAGCAGGCTGAAGCCGCTGAGGCTCACCAGGAGGTGGTGGAGGAAGTGCTACCAGAGAGCGAGGAGTTGGAGGTGGAAGTGGCTGCTGAACGCCCTGTGAAACGCTTGAAGTCAACTGAAGAGTCAGCTGTAAAGGCAACTCAAGTGTCGTCTCGAGTGACCCGGGGGAGCAGAGACACGGTTGTTGAAGTGGGGGCTGCTGCGCCTGGGGTGGAGTCACTTCCTGCCGAGCCGGTGCAGTCACCTCGTGTGAATCCCTCACAGCCAACTCGGAAGAGACCTCGAGAAGACCAGGGGATTGAGGACGTGGGTGTAGAGTCCCAGCTCCAGCGGCACCAGCGGCCGCAGCAGCAGAAGCAGACGCGGTCTCAGCAGAAGAAGCAGGTGCCAGAGCAGCAGCCACAGGAGCAGCAGCAGGAGCAGCCAGTGCAGCCATTGCAAAGGCAGCAGGATGTACTCGACAAAGGTGGATCTGGTGAAGGCGATCAAGTGGTGGCTCTGGACAATGAGGACGAGGTCATTGATCTGTGCGATGATGATGATGAGGATGATGAGTGTAGGGCTGAGAAAAGCCCTTAGGATCTTTCCAGAGACTTAAGTCCCACTTGTACAAGAGGCTTGAGTAGTGCAGCGGAAGTGTTGAGTAGTTGAACCCTTGCACTAGTATGTGAGAGCAAGTGATTGATTAGAAGGAACAAGCATACAGCAATATATAGAAAAATAAGAAATGAAGCAGTTGTAGAATACAGTTGAAGAAACAGTTATCGAGTCGCACAGTGACTCGATTGTCTGTTCGGTTACCATCCTTGCAGTCGCAACGGTCAATCGCAACCTCCGGTTGCGATCCTTCGAGTCCCTTCGTCCTTTCGTGTTCTTTCGTTCAACCTCCTCGTGTAAACTCCGTTGACTCGCGTACCCGATACGACTTTCCTCGAGTGTAGTGTTACACTTCAGAAACGCTTACCGTAATCCCCCGTATAAAACACCCTATGGTGTTAATAAAAATGCAGTGAAATTTTGGGCTGGGTGTAATTAAAGGCAAAAAAAATATAACACCCAGGAGTTATGGAATGTGCACATGCATTTATTTATTGGAATTCAAGTGTGCATGTTTCACCACCTTCATTTGAGTCAGATACCCACTTTTGGTCATTTCATTGCATACCGGACGATGTTGCCCATCTGCATGCCACATTGGCACTGCGCGTGCAGTGTCAGAGAGGATGCTGTCAGAACAGCCAATCGGCACACGTTTGATTTGACGGGACATGCGAAAATCGAGTACAGTGTGAAACTTTCGAATTTCACTGTTCTCGGTGTTTTTGTTTTCGTTCGGGCAGATTCGTCTCCTACATAAATACCCGCGTCGCGAGCTCGTTTTCCCCACTTGATTTGACGTGCATACGGTCGCCCCAGCAGGAGTGGAAAAATCGAATGGCTGCACACATCTACGCAACGCAAAATTCTGGTGTTTCCTGGTAAAAATGGAGATTCTAGGTGGCCAGGGGGGTGTTCAAAAGTTTTCACGTCCGAGAGTAGGGTGTTGTGTATATCCAGAAAAAATTAACACCCATACCCGCTCAAGCTACCCAAGGGAGCTTAATTCCGGCGGGTGTTTTATACGGGGGATTACGGTAAGTCTTCGAGGTATTTCCAACACTCCCCTTTGTTTCTGGAGTGCTGACGTGTCCGGATTCGGTGACGTTTATCTGCCCGGTCAGCAGCATGCAGTAATCGAACTTTGCCTTTGCCAGTTTCTTCGTCAGGTAATCTGCAGCCATTTCTGTCGTGGGGCAATAACTGAGTTGAAGTCTCCCCTTCGCGATCTCATCCTTGACAAAGAAATACCGCAGAGCGATGTGCTTGGTTCGATTGGCGAACCCGTTTTTGTTCGCGATTTTGATCGCGGATTGGTTGTCGCAAAATAACGAGAAGGCGGGCATGGTCGCAATTTTCGCTTCCTCGAGCAGCTCCCGCAGGTTAAGTCCTTCTTTCGTCGCAGAGCAGAGGGCGATGTATTCCGCTTCAGCCGAGGATAGCGCGATTAGTTCCTGCTTGCTTGATTGCCAGGAAATAGTCCCGATAAGCTCTAGTCAGTAGATGTAGCCCGTTCTGGAGCGCCGATTCTCCTTATATCCCACGTGGTCGGCGTCGACATAGCCGAGTAGTTGTACGGACGATGGTGTCACTTTGCTGTAGGTAAGTCTAGTCGTCGGCATAGAGACGAAGTAGAGCAGTGCCCGATTTAGCTCCTCGAGATCCTCTTGCTCCGGCTGCTTCAGGTGTGTCGCCAGTTGGCTCGCGCTGTAGGACAAATCCGGTCGGCAGGTTACTGCTGCGAACAGTAGACAGCCGAGCTTCTGTTGATATTCCTGGATTTGCTTCGCGGGGAGCTTTGCGAAGGTGTCGCTGTTGTTCCCGTAGCGATAGGGAGTCGCAACTGTGACCGGCGTTAGTCCGAATTTCTTCGCGACAACGCCTGCGTACTTTCCGGCGTGTAGGTAGAACGCCGAGTCGTCTTCGACGACGTTCAGACCTAGGTACTGGCTCATGGTGTCTGACACCGTGAGTGTTAAGTCACTCCTCAGCTTCCCTTCGAACCAGGTGACGACATCGGTAGTGGAGCCGACGTAGAGCAGGTCATCGACGTAGACGATGAGTAGGACGAAATCCCCCCCCTTCTGTAGTCAGTACATCCCTTGATCGTGCAGCAGCTGCAGGAAGCCGATCCTGACGAGGCGGCCGTGAAGATGCTTCTGCCAGATCCGCGGGGCTTGTTTGATTATGTAGAGGGATTTTACCAGCTGGCACACTTTTGTGGGATCGTCGATGAATCCGTGGGGCTGCTCGACGAAGATTTCGGCGTCCACAGGTGCGTACAGGAAGGCCTTGGCGACATCGATCTGGCGCAGTGGTAGCTTTTTCGTGGCCGCGACGGCGAGCAAAATGGGCAGGGAGGTATGTCGGGAGACTGGGGCGAATGCCTCCGTGTAGTCGGTTCCGTATCGCTGGTCGAATCCTCGTACGACCCAGCGAGCCTTGAAGCGGTCGATGGAGCCATCCGCATTAGTCTTGATGCGGTACACCCATTTCCCCGAGAGCACATTCTTCCCGTTGGTCTTTGTTGCAGGTACTAGTTTCCACGTGTTTCGGTCTTGCAGGGCCTTCCACTTTTTCCATTGCCTCCTTCCATTTCGCCTTGTGTTCCCCCCCCCAGAGCCTGCGACAGAGTCCTTGGCTCGCGCGGCGACGGCGGCGGCGGGCTCTGGACGGTGACCCAGAGTCCAAGTATCTGCAGGCCCGTGGGTGTGTGTCGAGGGGAATTTTCATTCCCGGGATAAGCTGCTTCGTCACCATCTTCGAGGTCAGGTAAGAAATTTGGTCCGATGCGTTCAGAGACATTTGTGTCAACCGGTTGAGGTGTAGTGTAACCCTGGTCAGCGAAGTGGTAATAAGTGTCGAGGTTGTTACTATCGAGAGGGTTGTTGTCGTCGAGTGGAACTGGCACGAAGCAGTAAGGGAGTGGACCGGCAGCTTCCGAGGCTTCAGGTACGTCTTCTTTTGCTGCGTCACCTTCGGCAGCACGGTCGGCGAAGGACCGATGGCCCTCGAAGCCGTCGGTGGGGTCTGCTGTGTTGGCGATGTTGTCCAGGTAATGCTGCAGCATCAGTCTCTCGTAGAAAATCACATCACGTGAGGCCACGGTGGTTTTGTCATGAATGTCGAGAATTTTCCATGCTTGGAAATGTTTTGCGATACCGAGGTGTAGTCCCCACTGTGCTCGTTGAGAGAATCGTCCTGCTCGGGCTGTGTGGGGTCTGTACTGTACCATGCAACCGAAGACTCGATGTAATTTTGTGCTGCCCTGTTTTCATGTCCACAGCAGGTTCGGTGATGCGATGTTGGGAATTGATGATGAGGACAGCAAGTTGTGGAGGTGGATTGCATGCGTCATCGCGTCAGGCCACAGTGTGTTGGGCAGTCTCATCCCCAGGAGCAGCTTTCGAATCGTCGTCTGCAAAGTCTGGTTCATCCTCTCTGCTACCCCCTGCTGCTGGTGAGCGTAGGGCAGAGACACCAGGCGTCTGATGCCTCTTTTTGCCAGATAGCTCCTGAACCTTTGTGACTGGTACTCTAGTGCCCCGTCGGACTGGAAGCTCTTGAGTTGGGAGCCCGATTCTCGTTCAGCGATGGGGAGCCACATCGTGAAGGCTTCGAACGCTTGATCACGTGTCTTGAGGTTGTAGTGCCAGACGTATCGTGTTGTTGCGTCGATGAACGTGATGACATAGTTGTACTCTGCTTCAGTGTCGTCTCGAGGCATATTTAAAATGTCGCTGTAAACTTTTTCCATCGGTGCGTATGTAGGTGCGCTTGGATTGTGGTGCGACGGGAAAGGTTGGTAGCGAAGATCAGCTTCAGGACACGTGAAGCATCGTGCGCGGGATCGTCGAAGCTCCTGGCCGCTCATTGTAAAAAGAGCGTCCTTTTCTAATACTCCGGCTTGTATGGTTTGTAGTACTGTGCTGTTTGCAGGGTGTCCGAGGCGTTGATGCCAGATGTCGTCGGGAGCGCGATGGCCGGGTGAGCGCTGGTACACGTCGGCATTGGAGAAGAACGCGACGACCGTGGCGGGACTGCGGCAGACTTCTCAGGTGATGGCCATGAGTTGATCTGCTTCGGATGGCGGTCCTCGGATTGCTGGTGATGGCGCGTGGCTGGGTCCTGCTATTGTTACTACAGGTGATGTCGAGGAAGGTGTACTTGCTGGTACTTGTCGTTCTTGACGAATGATTGCTAATGCGCGTGTTCTTTCTGCTGCAGGGATGGTGTTGGAGTACCAGAATCCCTCTGGAGTGAAGTCGGGGTCAAGATCTGGCGGGTGCGTCCAGGCGGCGAACGACACGATGCCATCGCTGTCGGCAGTTCCGCGGTCGGGGACGAAGTCCAGCACGAAGACGCCCGACTTCAGGAGAGCGCGACCGATGAAGAGGCCGCCCTTCCCGTGGTAAAGGCGAAACTCGTTGGCATCCGAGTCGCATTCCAGGTGAATTCCCTTCGCCATTAACTGGCTGACGCTTAGTAGATTGTATCCCAAATTGTCGACGATGAGAACTTTGTTGAGTTGGAGTATGACGTTTGTTTCCATTGACAGAAGTTGAACAACTCCTTGTCTGTTTGTCTTCAGGTTTTCGTTGTTGGCGACGGTGATGATGACATCGCGGTTGAGACGTCGCTCTTGTTGCACGAAGCGCCCCGAGGAACACATGTGTTGGCCGCAGCAACTGTCCAAGAACCAGGTGTTTCGCCCGGTGGGTTCGGCGTTGGCGACTGCAGCATACGTGGGGTTGACTTGAATACCTTATGAGCGAGGTGGCGGCACTTCTTCTTCATCTGGAGCGTAAGTGGGTGGTGATCCGGGTGTGCAGTTGTCGATGTGCACCATGCAGTTAATAATGTTCGGTGCGCCTTGTGCAGGTGAAGAGGAGCGGCTTGGCGGATTCTCTTGAGTGGAGGCGACTTGCGGGTCTGCTGGACGATAAACTCTAGGGCGTGTGCAGTTGACTTTGGAGTGCCCGGATGTCTGACAGTTGTGGCAGTTGAGTCCTCTGGTGTCGTGTCGGTTCTGCTTATCACGTTGGTTGTAGTTGTTGTCGTTTCTTCGTTGAGTATAGAAGACTAACGGTTGCTGCTTGTTTTTTTTTTTGTCTTTCTTCAAACAGGTCCATCTCCTGTTGTTCGGCATGAAGCTCGGCGCAGAGGTGCATCTCGGAAATTCGTCCGTGGGCGCGAAGGAGCGAGCGGGTGGTTCTCCATTCTGGTCCGAGCCCGGCGAGAACAAGTGTCACGAAGCTTTCTTCAGTTATTGTACCTCCGCACCGAAGCAGGCGGTCGCGGAGTGTCTGGCAGCGACTCATACATTGCATCGCCTTTTCCCCGGTCTTCATTTGTATTGTTGTCAACTGCTGCATGAGTCTGCTTTGTGTCACTCTGTCGTTTGCTTGATAGAGACACTTCAGATGATGCCAGGCGAGCTCCGCGGAGTTTTCGTAGCTCCAATACGTTCTGATGCTCTGCTGCTCTTGTGGTGACAGATTTTGCAGGAGAACTGTGTACGCCAGCAGCGACTGATAAGTGAATATTTCCTGCTCCTTTGCAGTGCCATTGCTTGGAAATGGCAGGGACCCGTTGAAGTATCCCAAGAGGTGCGCGGCCTCCATCAGCAGCTTGAACTCAAAACTCCAGGTAAAGAGGTCGTGCCCGTTGAACGGTGAAGATGTCTGCAGTTTGATCACATGTGAAAACTGCGCCTGGAGACTCAATATCTCGTTTGGTGACTGTTGTGATGCAGCTGCTGTCGGTTGAGCACGGGACGGCATGAACTCGAACGTCCCTGGTGAAGAGTGATAAGGCGCAAAGGTAGGCGCCTGATTGTGCCCGAATGTAGGCGCAAAGGTAGGCACAATGGTAGGCGCCCGAATGATGAATTGTTGAGGCTCATTGGTGCTAATCCCATATTTCATCCGTTGCTCTGTGTTGAATGCGCAGGTGTCCTTGTCTGTTGCTGCTGGTCAAAGTGCGACATGAAGCTGAATAACCTTTCCATAAGGTTTGGGTCCACGCCTGAGGAGGGTGAAGGGGTCACCATTTCTGGTACCCTTCCTGTTGTTTCTTGAGCAGCGCCGGTCTCAGTTTGTAGTCCTGAATTGTGTAGTCCAGAGGTGCCGGGTTGAGTGTCTTGGGCGCTGGGTGAGCCCGTAGAAGACTTTTTGCCCTTGTTGTCCATGACTTGTAATCGATGAAGTTTTGATGTGCTGACTGTAGATAGGATGTCGTTGATGGGAGTTTGGTCTCTGACCAGCTCTCATACCATGTAGGGCTGAGAAAGGCCCTCAGGATCTTTCCAGAGACTAAGTCCCACTTGTACAAGAGGCTTGAGTAGTGCAGCGGAAGTGTTGAGTAGTTGAACCCTTGCACTAGTATGTGAGAGCAAGTGATTGATTAGAAGGAACAAGCATACAGCAATATATAGAAAATAATAAATGAAGCAGTTGTAGAATACAGTTGAAGAAACAGTTATCGAGTCGCACAGTGACTCGATTGTCTGTTCGGTTACCATCCTTGCAGTCGCAACGTCAATCGCAACCTCCGGTTGCGATCCTTCGAGTCCCTTCGTCCTTTCGTGTTCTTTCGTTCAACCTCCTCGTGTAAACTCCGTTGACTCGCGTACCCGATACGACTTTCCTCGAGTGTAGTGTTACACTTCAGAAACGCTCAAGTCTTCGAGGTATTTCCAACAATGAGGATGATGATTGAATGATGTAGGGCGGGGTGCGTGTGTATTCATAAACACCGATCTAGTGTTTAAATGTTCCTTCTGGCTCGTCTATGAAGATGTACCGTATGCATGTACCTGCCATCAGAAAGCAGAGTTACATGAGAACAATTGTATCGAAATTAGGGTTAGCCAACCTAAGAGACGAAGGTAAGCAAGAGAGTATGTGAAGAATCTACAGTTATTTCATCAAAGTGAGTCGTTTTGAGTGTTGAATTTCATGTTCCAACGATTTGCGCGCTCCGACTGTGCAGCTCCCACGTACATTTTTCCCTCCCAACAGCCAACCGCGCCTCGCCTGTGGGCTGACCCGACCAGCTTTCGAAATTTGCAGCAGCGGTTGGCACATTTGGAAACTAGCGTCGGCTCCCTACGTCCCACCACCCCCCCCACACCAGCTTTCCCTCACTTGAGGCAACGCCACTGGTTTCCGCTCAAAAGCTGCCACTGGTATTCTCTCGCAGTATTCTGCCACGGGCATTCCCTCATAAGCTGCTACTGGTTTTCCCTCGAACGCGCCACAGATTTCCCCTAATTACCCGCGACTGGAATTTCCGCTTAGCTTGCCACTACCTTTCCCTCATGACCTCCCACCAGCTTTCCCTCGTTACCTGCCACTGGCCTCCGCTCATCCCACCCTCGTTGCGTCTCCCACACTTTGGTGCCTCTGCCCTCCCAGCAGCAGCGTGCACCGCCATTCCCAGCAACGTTTCTGGCCGTCTCAGGCACTATGGCGCGCTCAGCCTTCCGTACACAGCTAGTGCTATTAATTCCCGCCCTTGGTCTCATCAACACAAGCTCGATCCACCACACATCTTTACTAGCAGAGCACAGTCAGTTCCTAACCGAGAGCGATTCCGACGGTCTCAGTTCCAGATTCCGACGACGCGAGCCAGAACAGCAGCAGCTAGACAGCTGACTTTTCCAGGCAACAGCTGACCTTGCTTCGATTTCAGAGCTCAGCCTCAGCGAGAGCATCGGTAGAACCCCTTGCGAAGCCTAGCAATCCCGAGTGCAAGCAATGGCATTCCGCGGCAGCAGCTCACCCCTCCCCTTATTCCTCGCGGCGGCGCTCTGCCTGGCGCACGCCGCTCTAGCGGCGAACCTCCCCCCCGGCGGGTGCCACACGCGGTACGTGTGTCCGTACATCGACGATCTGGCCACGGCGACCATCGACGACACCACGTACACGAGCTACCCGTTCCTCGGCGACTTCCAGGGCGTGTTCAATGACCAGGGCGGCGCGTTCGTGCCGTTCCAGCGCGGGTCGGGCCCCGTGAACTACGAGCGGTACACGGAGGTGGGCACCATCTTCGACGTCGTCAAGGGCGTCTACGGCGACACGCTGCAGGAGTGCTGCCGCGCCTGCGCGCGCTCCACCTACTGCTACCAGTGGCACTGGTTCAAAAAGTGAGCGCCACGCAACCGATACCATCAGCGACGCCGCCAAATGCATCCCATGTCACATTTATCAGCCGTTTTATCACGCGGCGTGTCTGATCCCGGTCCGTCCGTCATTCTCCCATCGTTTTTTGCGACTAATCCCGTCCCGTTCCCGTCTGCCCATTACCGACCCTCGTCTCTCCGCTGCCCGGCTGATTGTTCGCCAATGACTCATCTCTGTTCGCTGGTCCTTCTCCCACCGGGCTCGTGACTGATTTCAGCCGCATTCCACATGTCCTCTGGCTAATCCCTTTTGAGGCGCCTCAAAACTAGACTCCTATCTGTCCTCAGGCTTCTCCCTTTCCGCCAATCTTTCTCCCCCTCCGCCTCCCCGCAGCTCCCGCCTGGTGGGCGAGAACGCGAACGTGGCGGGGTTCATCGACCGCGTGCAGTGCTACCTGCTGGAGAGGATCGGCGGGTCGGGCCTGTCGGGCGACTACCAGACGCCGTACGCGGGGGATGCGACGGTGCAGACGGCCAACGCGGCGACCATCCCGCTGAGCTTCGTGGGCGGGCTGTGCAACGGCACTGCGCTCGTCGAGAACGACCCGCATCTCACGGGCGCGCACGGCACGCGCTACGACTTCACGGGGCGCCTCGACAAGTCCTTCTGCCTCTTCTCCGACCGCCGCTTCCACGTCAACATGCTCCTCAACGGCTACCAGGGCGCGCCGCCCGCCCTCGCCGCACTCGCGGGCGGGGAGTCCGCGAAGGGGAAGGAGGGTTCGACGGAGCTGCACACGTGGATCAAGGAGTTGGGCGTGGTGTGGATGGGCGCGGACGGCGCGAACCACACGCTGCGCATGGTGGCGCGCAGGGGGAAGCAGCAGGAGCGCGGCGCCGACGGGTTCGTGGCACTGCTGGAGGTGGACGGGGAGGCGCGGACGCCGCCGCGCGTGGGGGAGGCGGTGGCGACGGCGGGCGGGCTGGAGGTGCGCAAGGTGGCGGAGGCGAAGGAGGGGCCGTTCGACGTGGACCAGTTCCGCGTGCGCGTGCGCGGGCTGGGGGAGCTGGACGTGCGCGCGCGCGTAGCGCACCCGCTGCTGCAGACGGCCGAGGAGGCGGAGGCGCACTTCAACGTGGAGCTGTCGGACGTGGCGATGACGTCAGCCGTGCACGGCGTGCTGGGGCAGACGTTCCGCGACACCCCCGAGCAGCTGGCGCGCGCCGTGAAGTACTCACACCTGGCGGCGCTGCTGCGGCGCCCCGTGGACGTGGACAAGGCGGACGGCAGCGGCTTCCTGGACGGCACCGTCGACGACTACATCTCCTCGTCCGTCGTCGCGCCCGACTGCAAGTTCGCCACCTACGGCACGGGCGAGTAGAAGGAAGGGGGTGGTGGGGGGCTGCAAGTTCGCCGCCTACGGCACGGGCGAGTAGAAGGAAGGGGGTGGAGGGGGGCTGCAAGTTCACCGCCTACGGCACGGGCGAGTAGAAGGAAGGGGGTGGAGGGGGGCTGCAAGTTCACCGCCTACGGCACGGGCGAGTAAAGGCAACTCGCAGTTGCGCCCGCAACGGCGCCAGGGAGTGAAAGTTGAGGGGACTTGCCGCGCTCCACGCTAGGGAATGCTGGGCAAATTGCCTGGCGTGGGTGATGTCAGTGCACCTAGATGAGGGCTGCCTTGCTCCAAGGCTAATAAGGGTGCTCGGGTCTTCTGCTCATTAGTTATGTACACTTCTCTTGTTCTTGCAATTTCTTTGTTAGTTTTCATGCATCCCAACCCGTCTATAATTACCTGATAAGAGTTACTGGGCATGACGCAAGGCTGGAGGATTCTTCAAGAAAATGAGATACTGGGCATCCATAGTAGCTCAGTCTAAAGGTGGAAGTCACATTGCTTGTTGATAAACTAAGAGACTGCACTGCACTACACTGCACTGCACTGCACCAGCCAGCCAGCCAGCCAACCAGCCAGCCAGAACACTTGTGTATACCCCTGTACCCTCCAAGCTGTGCCCAGTCCCCTGCTCCCCTGCTCTTGCCACTGCTCACTCCCTTCAGCGCCCATGCTCTTGCAAGGTTCTCAGCCCATGGCACTTGCAGACCGCAGGCTGCATTCCCTCTCATGTGCCTCTGGATACCTGAGAGGTAGATGGCTGTGCTGAATGGGGGGCTGGAGCCTGTGGGTGGGTAGGGGAAGTGAGGTTGAGGGATGTGGAGGTGGGAAGGATGGGAGATGGGAGAGGAAGGAAGGAGCAGGTGGTGGGAGGAGAGGGTGCTGGCAAACAGTCACAGCACGAGCCACACCAAGTGCAGGGAGTGGTGAGGGACGAGGCAGCACGCGCTGTTTCCTCACTCACTAGTCAACATGACAACCAAGGAGAAACGGGGAGGTAACAGCGTGAGTGGGAGCAAGGAGGATGGCAAAGAGAGGCGCAAGAGAGACGTCAGGGGGAGGCAGGCACAGGGAAGACCGGTCCTTACCGCTTTCGCCCACACCTCGTCTCCCTCTCTCACACCTCCCCACGTCCCTACCCCTCTCACCCACCTCCTCCCCTTGCCAGCAGCGATGCACAAGTGCACATAATGGGCGCCACCTTCCCACCTCTCCCACCTGTCACCCACTTATGCCTCTGTCATCAACCCACCCTATGACCCACCTCCCTTGCCAGGCACACACAAGTGCACAGGATGCGCGGCGCAGTGCTCATCACGTTCCACCGTGCACAGCGCTCACCGTCGAAACACACCTCCGCACGTGTGCATATTAGGAGTGGCACAGCGCTCACCACCCCCAGCACTCACGCCAAAATCCACCACTGCACCCACAGTCCTGGCGCCAATCCTCCCTTTGGCCCCGACCCCACCACCCCCCTCTGCTTCACCCGGCAACGCATGCGGTGGGGTCGGGAAATGGTCGTGAGAAGTGGAATAATGGATCATGGATGGGTCTCATGCATGCTGCTGGTGCAGCCTAGGCTAGCTGGTGTGCGGAGGGTGGGGGAGTTGAATGCATGTGCATGTCTGCGTGTGCATGGTGCTGCCTAGGCTAGCTGGTGTGAGGAGGGTGGGGGAGGGTAGGGGAGATGAAAAGAGAGGAAGCAGTTGGGAGGGACATGGGTGAGTGGCATGACATGGGTGAGTGGCATGACATGGGTGTGTGGCATGACATGGGTGAGTGGCATGACATGGGTGAGTGGCATGACATGGGTGTGTGGCATGACATGGGTGTGTGGCATGACATGGGTGTGTGGCATGACATGGGTGTGTGAACATAAACAATAACCAAGAAAGACTTTTAAGTGATGAAGAGCATGTGTTTGTATGCATGCGCATGTGCATGTGTGTGTGCGCATGTGCATGTGCATGTGTGCGTGCGCATGGGTGTGCGTATGCATGCATACCTGCACCGCACTGCACCGCACGCACAATGGACTGCTAAACGCCATCGGCACCATCAAAGTCGAAGCAGCAGGAAGCCATGCTGCCTTGGTGTGCCGTCGCTCAGTCTGCCGTCGCTGGGCGTCGCTTTGTGTGGCGTCGCTGCTGCTGCTGACTCAGCAGTGCACCACTCGGAGGGTCACACCCAGCCACAGATGCGACGAGAGACAGCCGTGGCGTGGCTTGGTATGGCGTGTCTTAGCATGGCATGGCTTGGTATGGCGTGTGTTAGCATGGCATGGCTTGGTATGGCGTGTCTTAGCATGGCATGGCTTGGTATGGCGTGTCTTCGCAAGGCATGGCTTGGTATGTCGGCAAGCGCGGATGATGTGGTGATGGCATTATGCCCACCAATTGATGGGTGCCGTGCCGTGCGGGGGGGACTTCTGAAGGCAGGGAGAAAGGGGCGGATACAGGGGATGCGGGAGGGGAGGGATGAGAGAGGAGTCTATTTTTGAGGCGCCTCAAAATTAGCCATCTGATGGGTGCCGCAACCCACGGGTGTTTGGACGGGGGGGACATCTGAAGGCCGGGAGAAGAGGGGGGGGTACAGAGGATGCGGGCGGGAGAGATGCGAGAGGGCGAGGGTATAAGAGGGGAGAGAGGTGGAAATGGGAAGGGGAAAAAGAAAGGGTGCAGTGGCATGGTGGATGGCGACGGAAGGGAGAGATACAGCTCCATGTTGGGTGCTGCTTGATTAGCGCAACTCACGGGTGGTTGGACGGGGGAGAGCGGCGGGTGACGAGGAACGGGGGTGCTGTGATGGGGGGAATGCAGCATGCGATGGCGGGTGGGTGCAGCATGCGATGGTGGGTGCAGCATGCGATGGTGGGTGCAGCATGCGATGGTGCTTGCCGCATGCGATGGTGGGTGCAGCATGCGATGGTGGGTGCAGCATGCGATGGTGGGTGCAGCATGCGATGGTGGGTGCAGCATGCGATGGTGGGTGCAGCATGCGATGGTGGGTGCAGCATGCGATGGTGGGTGCAGCATGCGATGGTGGGTGCAGCATGCGATGGTGGGTGCAGCATGCGATGGTGGGTGCAGCATGCGATGGTGGGTGCAGCATGCAATGGTGGGTGCGGCATGCAATGGGGCGGATGGGGTGGATGGGGTGGATGGGGTGGATGGGGTGGATGGGGCGGATGGGGCGGATGGGGTGGATGGGGTGGATGGGGTGGATGGGGTGGATGGGGTGGATGGGGTTTAGGGGGTGGATGGGGTGGATGGGGTGGATGGGGCGGATGGGGTGGATGGGGTGGATGGGGCGGATGGTGTGGATGGGGTGGATGGGGTGGATGGGGCGGATGGGGTGGATGGGGTGGATGGGGTGGATGGGGTGGATGGGGCGGATGGAGTGGATGGGGTGAATGGGGTGGATGGGGTGGATGGGGCGGATGGGGTGGATGGGGCGGATGGGGTGGATGGGGGGATGGGGCGGATGGGGTGGATGGGGTGGATGGGGCGTATGGGGTGGATGGGGTGGATGGGGCGGATGGGGTGGATGGGGCGGATGGGGTGGATGGGGTGGATGGGGGGGATGGGGCGGATGGGGTGGATGGGGGGATGGGGCGGATGGGGTGGATGGGGTGGATGGGGTGGATGGGGTGGATGGGGTGGATGGGGTGGATGGGGCGGATGGGGTGGATGGGGTGGATGGGGTGGATGGGGTGGATGGGGCGGATGGGGTGGATGGGGCGGATGGGGTGGATGGGGCGGATGGGGTGGATGGGGTGGATGGGGCGGATGGGGCGGATGGGGTGGATGGGGCGGATGGGGTGGATGGGGTGGATGGGGTGGATGGGGCGGATGGGGTGTATGGGGTGGATGGGGCGGATGGGGTGGATGGGGTGGATGGGGTGGATGGGGCGGATGGGATGGATGGGGTGGATGGGGTGGATGGGGCGGATGGAGTGGATGGGGTGGATAGGGCGGATGGGGTGGATGGGGCGGATGGGGTGGATGGGGTGGATGGGGTGGATGGGGCGGATGGGGCGGATGGGGTGGATGGGGTGGATAGGGTGGATGGGGCGGATGGGGTGGATGGGGTGGATGGGGTGGATGGGGCGGATGGTGTGGATGGGGCGGATGCGGTGGGTGGGGCGGATGGGGTGGATGGGTTGGATGGGGCGGATGGGGTGGATGGGGTGGATGGGGTGGATGGGGTGGATGGGGCGGATGGGGTGGATGGGGTGGATGGGGCGGATGGGGTGGATGGGGTGGATGGGGTGGATGGGGTGGACGGGGCGTATGGGGTGGATGGGGTGGATGGGGCGGATGGGGTGGATGGGGTGGATGGGGCGGATGGGGTGGATGGGGGGGATGGGGTGGATGGGGTGGATGGGGTGGATGGGGCGGATGGGGCGGATGGGGTGGATGGGGTGGATGGGGCGGATGGGATGGATGGGGTGGATGGGGCGGATGGGGTGGATGGGGTAGATGGGGTGGATGGGGTGGATGGGGCGGATGGGGTGGATGGGGTGGATGGGGTGGATGGGGCGGATGGGGTGGATGGGGCGGATGGGGCGGATGGGGCGGATGGGGCGGATGGGGTGGATGGGTTGGATGGGGCGGATGGGGTGGATGGGGCGGACGGGAAGGATAGGGTGGATGGGGTTGGATGGGGCGGATGGGGTGGATGGGGTGGATGGGGTGGATGGGGTGGATGGGACGGATGGGGTGGATGGGGTGGATGGGGTGGATGGGGCGGATGGGGTGGATGGGGCGGATGGGGTGGATGGGGCGGATGGGGTGGATGGGGCGGATGGGGTGGATGGGGTGGATGGGGCGGATGGGGTGGATGGGGTGGATGGGGGGATGGGGTGGATGGGGTGGATGGGGCGGATGGGGTGGATGGGGTGGATGGGGCGGATGGGGTGGATGGGGTGGATGGGGTGGATGGGGTGGACGGGGCGGATGGGGTGGATGGGGTGGATGGGGCGGATGGGGTGGATGGGGTGGATGGGGCGGATGGGGGCGGATGGGGCGGATGGGGTGGATGGGGTGGATGGGGTGGATGGGGCGGATGGGGGTGGATGGGGCGGATGCGGTGGGGTGGGGCGGATGGGGTGGATGGGGTGGATGGGTGGATGGGGCGGATGGGGTGGATGGGGTGGATGGGGTGGATGGGGTGGATGGGGTGGATGGGGTGGATGGGGCGGATGGGGTGGATGGGGTGGATGGGGCGGATGGGGTGGATGGGGGGATGGGGTGGATGGGGTGGATGGGGTGGACGGGGCGTATGGGGTGGATGGGGTGGATGGGGTGGATGGGGTGGATGGGGTGGATGGGGTGGATGGGGCGGATGGGGCGGATGGGGTGGATGGGGTGGATGGGGTGGATGGGGTGGATGGGGCGGATGGGGCGGATGGGGCGGATGGGGTGGATGGGATGGATGGGGCGGATGGGGCGGATGGGGTGGATGGGGAGGATGGGGCGGATGGGGAGGATGGGGTGGATGGGGTGGATGGGGTGGATGGGGTGGATGGGGCGGATGGGGTGGATGGGGCGGATGGGGTGGATGGGGTGGATGGGGCGGATGGTGCGGATGGGGCGGATGGGGTGGATGGGGTGGATGGGGTGGATGGGGCGGATGGGGTGGATGGGGTGGATGGGGTGGATGGTGCGGATGGGGTGGATGGGGTGGATGGGGTGGATGGGGCGGATGGGGCGGATGGGGTGGATGGGGTGGATGGGGTGGATGGGGTGGATGGGGCGGATGGGGTGGATGGGGTGAATGAGGTGGATGGGGTGGATGGGGCGGATGGGGTGGATGGGGCGGATGGGGTGGATGGGGGGGATGGGGCGGATGGGGTGGATGGGGTGGATGGGGTGGATGGGGCGGATGGGGTGGATGGGGTGGATGGGGTGGATGGGGCGGATGGGGTGGATGGGGTGAATGAGGTGGATGGGGTGGATGGGGCGGATGGGGTGGATGGGGCGGATGGGGTGGATGGGGGGGATGGGGTGGATGGGGTGGATGGGGTGGATGGGGCGGATGGGGTGGATCGGGTGGATGGGGTGGATGGAGCGGATGGGGTGGATGGGGTGGATGGGGTGGATGGGGCGGATGGGGTGGATGGGGTGGATGGGGTGGATGGGGCGGATGGGGTGGATGGGGTGAATGAGGTGGATGGGGTGGATGGGGCGGATGGGGTGGATGGGGCGGATGGGGTGGATGGGGGGGATGGGGCGGATGGGGTGGATGGGGTGGATGGGGCGGATGGGGTGGATGGGGTGGATGGGGTGGATGGTGCGGATGGGGTGGATGGGGTGGATGGGGTGGATGGGGCGGATGGGGTGGATGGGGCGGATGGTGCGGATGGGGCGGATGGGGTGGATGGGGTGGATGGGGTGGATGGGGCGGATGGGGTGGATGGGGTGGATGGGGTGGATGGTGCGGATGGGGTGGATGGGGTGGATGGGGCGGATGGTACGGATGGGGTGGATGGGGTGGATGGGGTGGATGGGGCGGATGGGGCGGATGGGGTGGATGGGGCGGATGGGGTGGATCGGGTGGATGGGGCGGATGGGGTGGATGGGGTGGATGGGGTGGATGGGGTGGATGGGGCGGATGGGGCGGATGGGGTGGATGGGGTGGATGGGGTGGATGGGGCGGATGGGGTGGATGGGGCGGATGGGGTGGGTGGGGCGGATGGGGTGGATGGGTTGGATGGGGTGGATGGGGCGGATGGGGTGGATGGGTTGGATGGGGTGGATGGGGCGGATGGGGTGGATGGGGTGGATGGGGTGAATGGGGTGGATGGGGTGGATGGGGTGGATGGGGTGGATGGGGCGGATGGGGCGGATGGGGTGGATGGGGTGGATGGGGCGGATGGGATGGATGGGGTGGATGGGGCGGATGGGGTGGATGGGGTGGATGGGGCGGATGGGGTGGATGGGGTGGATGGGGTGGATGGGGCGGATGGGGCGGATGGGGTGGATGGGGTGGATGGGGTGGATGGGGCGGATTGGGTGGATGGGGTGGATGGGGCGGATGGGGTGGATGGGGTTGATGGGGCGGATGGGGTGGATGGGGTGGATGGGGCGGATGGGATGGATGGGGTGGATGGGGTGGATGGGGTGGATGGGGTGGATGGGGCGGATGGGGTGGATGGGGTGGATGGGGTGGATGGGAGGACAATGCAGCTTGAGGAAGGGAAGAAGCGGGTGGGAGGGAAGTTGGCGCGGGAGGCATGGCTGTCAGCGGAATCTCGCCGATCGTATTTCATGAAGCACGTCCACGTGTCAGCATCACGCCGATCACATCGATGAAGCACGTCCATGCGTCAGCTGGTGAGTGGAACAGCGCCGGCTGCAGGCGGCAGGTGTTGAACGAGCGGCCGGCGCGGATAGCGGAGAGAGCAGCGGGCGGGCGGCAGGCGCGCGAGAGGAGCAGCGCGAGGAATGGATGCGAGAGGAATGGATGCGAGAGAACCCTTGCTACAAGCGAGCGAGAAGCAGCGCCGCGAGGCGAGCAGCAACGCGGTGCGGGCAGCAGGGCATAGAGCACAACGAGGAGGGCGACGGTGCACGCAGCAGAGCTGGCAGCCCGCCACTCCGCCCGTCGCTCCAACCCACTCCGCTTCTGCTGCCTTCAACAACCTCCCCGCCACGCACTCGCCCCCCCCCTGCTGTCACACTCGACATCGCTGCCACCGTATCGGCGCGCAATGAGACTACCGACTGAGCTAGAATCTGTGCTATCTCCAGTGTCTTGTACTCGTAAAAAAAAGGAAAAAAAAGAGCAAAAGCTCTCTGTTGACATGGTTCGAGTTGCCTAAAGTGACTGACATGGGACGTCCGTCGGTCTATGGGGCAGGCCGCTCTAGCAGCAGCAGTTGTCATCGAATCTTGTGCCATCCGCCATGCCTGTGGGGATGCCGTGTAGTCGAACTCCTCTGCTCCTTGCGAATGCTTTTTCTGCAGAGAGAATACTTGGAGGGGAGGGAACCATACGCCATACAAGCACTCGTCACAAAAAACCGTGGCAATGGTTGATTAGTATTGGATATGGATTTGGCTTGGGTACAGACACACCTGTACAGTACGTTACTTTGCAGTACAGCACTGTGCGGGACGATTGGAGGAAAATATTTTGCGTCGCCCAATCAGCTTGTTCGCCACGTCACGTACCAGAATCAAGCTTCTGGTGGTGCTGGGCTCGCTGTGACGAAAGCGTGAAGACCACTCCAGAATGTTGCACACACACTCGCCAAGCACACACCAACCACAGCACAACCTGGGAATCTTGTTCATCGCGATTGGCCGAGCTCGGATTGCGTGGATTCGCAACAAGCAGATGGGGAGATTTCAGAGCGTCGTCGATTCGGAAACCACGCGGTCCGTGACGAGTCAGCATCCAATCACAATCACATTCCAGCCAATACCACTCTCCCTCCTCCCAACCTCATCCTTTCCCCCCAGACCTTATGACGTTTAAAACTAGCTTCAGTCGAGAAATTATCATAATTTTCAGGATTTCTAGCACTATTCAGCATCTCCAGGAACTTCTTACCACAGCTTCCATTTCGAGAGACCATCACATCCACAATGGCTGCTCTCGCCAACGCTGCTGTGCTCCCCTCCACCTTCGTCGGCCAGAGCGCTGAGCTCGCCGCCAAGGTCAACAATGTCGAGGCCCGCGTCACCATGAGGAAGACCGCTAAGGCTTCCTCCAGCAGCGCCTTCTACGGCCCCGACCGCAACCTGTTCTTGGGCCCCTTCTCCTCCCCCCCGTCGTACCTGACCGGCGAGTACGCCGGCGACTACGGCTGGGACACGGCGGGTCTGTCCGCTGACCCCGAGACGTTCGCCAAGAACCGCGAGCTGGAGGTAGGCCAAATGGTCGTCGTAACCCTACACATTCAATCCACATTAGTAATGATCGCAATTACTTCCGCAACCACATTAGTGGTCCACCTCACTTAAAATTTCAGTCTGTTGCTTTTCATTTCCTCACTCTTTTCTCTGTCTTGCTTTGTTAACAACCTTCAGGTCATCCACGCTCGCTGGGCTCTTCTCGGTGCTCTCGGCTGCCTCACCCCCGAGCTTCTCGCCGGCAACGGCGTGAACTTCGGCGAGGCCGTGTGGTTCAAGGCCGGCGCTCAGATCTTCTCGGAGGGTGGCCTCGACTACCTGGGCAACCCCAGCCTGATCCACGCGCAGTCCATCCTGGCCATCTGGGCGTGCCAGGTCATCCTTATGGGAGCCGTTGAGAGCTACCGCGTGGGTGGCCTCGAGGGCTTCCAAGAGGTTGAGGACCCCCTGTACCCCGGCGGTGCCTTCGATCCCTTGGGTCTGGCTGACGACCCCGACGCGCTTGCTGAGCTGAAGGTGAAGGAGCTGAAGAACGGCCGCCTCGCCATGGTGTCCATGTTCGGGTTCTTCGTCCAGGCCATCGTCACCGGCAAGGGCCCTCTGGAGAACCTGTCCGACCACCTGGCTGACCCCACCGTCAACAACGCATGGGCCTATGCCACCAACTTCACCCCCGGTGCTTAAATGTAGCCTTATTACTTGTACATGATTTGTTTATTATACCTAAATAAATGACTGCGCTTTGAAAGTCTAGAAAACTGGTGGATTTACGTTACTCAGACTTCGCATGTTGCATGGATTGGTCGTGCCTGGCAGTCAGGATGTGTAAATTGGTCGAGTGAGGAGGGAAGCAATGCACAGATGAGAGCACCGAGAACGGCTGCTGGTGGGACCATGGTCCTGACTGGCGATAGAGGTGCTTGTTAGGGCGTGTATCATGTGCTAGAAACACTTCATCACTACCAGCGTCGACACATCCCTTTCTTGCTGTCCATACCCTCCCGAATCTCTCGTGCTGGGCTCTTTTTTTCAGCTTCTCTGCTGGGAAATTTTATGGTTCGGTAAAACTCGCTACAAGAAATACTGTTGACGTGGACGTATACTAAGTGCATATTTTGAAGGTATGTGATTCCAACGCTCTTTAACCAAGTATACACAATATTCCTGCAAATCAGCTCTAAACATTTGCCTTAACATCTTGTGTCATTCTTGTGTCATTCTTATTACATCTGCCTTAACATTTCAGCACTTTGCACACTAATGAATCATTTACCACGTCTTGAAACACGACCATTCTATCGTTTTCGTTTTCGGTTATACATCATTCCACTACTCTCAGTCATCACTAATACACTGCAGCCTGGCACCTTACGACGAAGCCCGCGTATGTCGCAGCGGGCCTGACACCATGTGGTGTCAGCAGCAGACAGGTTCCGATGGAGGCATGGGAAAAGTTTGCGGCCCCCCCCTCGCACCATACCTCCGCAAGGTTCGGACGAAACCATATCATGACAATACCCTCGGCTCGGGAGCCAGGTCAACTGCGGTCCGTTGGTCATCAGTTGTTACCAAACCACTGCCCAGCAGAATGCCTTCTGTTCCGAGCCGAAGCCGCCAAATCTTTCCGAATTGATTCTGCTGCTGTGTGTGGGTGGGGTGGGTGGGACTGTGCGAGCCGCGCATTGTTTGATCTTCGCTCGCTGTGCTTTCCTTCCTCACTCGCCCCGCCCCCAGGCAACGTCTCCTCTGACATTTCTCCTCCCTCGTCCCTCCTGCCTCTTCTCGGTGTGTTGTTCGGAGTAGTGCAGTTCGCTCCTAGCTTCAAGTCTCTATCAAACCTTCACTCCTCCGCTTTCTTTCCGCAGTTCGCTAGCTTCCATGTCTCACGCCAGGGGTGCCTTCCCTCGGATTTCCATCCTTCCGCAGCCCGCCCGCCAGATGTTCGCATAGCCAAGAAACCAGCGGGCTAGCGCTTCGCCTTATACGCCAAGGGCAGTATCGCTAAGGAAGTGAAAGAGGGAGCGAGTCGTTAGCTCTATTATCAATTAGCGTTAGGCTGCACGAGCAAGTGCACATACGATAGGCATACGATCGTTTACGATCGTCACACGTGTGCGCGCGTCGCACACTACTCTTTTGCTGTCGCCTCTCTTCTGAATCCACTCATGGCGACAGCATACGAAACCGGCGACAGCTCGCGCCACTCGCCAACCGGCGAAAAGCTCCTTCCGGTTACCACCCGCGCGTCAACCCCCCGTGCCGCGCCCGCGGATCCATGGAGGTTGCTACGATGGGGGAAGTACTGCGGAAGCGGCGGGGGGGAGGTAACGCGCGTCGCGCTTCATACGCTGCCGTTCGTCCTCCTCCTGGCGCTAATCGCCGTCGCGTCTACCTTCGCCCGAGGCGGATTCTCGCAACAGCCGTTTCGCCAGAGCCTCACATTTCCGCTGTCGGTTTCTAAAATGTCGTCCCCTTCCACCACCACCGCAACTCTCGCCGTGTTCTCTGCCGGCGATCTTGCTGGGTTTGACGGCGCTTCCAGCAAGCTTGGAGATCAGGAGGAATCCGTGTTTGGCAGGTTCGCGGATCCTGCGGCGGGCGGAGCGGTGTCCGCGGAATCCCTGGAATCCGCCCAGCGTGCGGAAGTGGCGGAAGCGGAGTCCGCGGAAGCGGGGGTGACGGAAAGTTCGACGCGAGAAGCGGTGAAGAAGGAGGGGTCCTTATCTCTTAAACGAGACGAGAGCGTTGCGGATGTGACAGTAGGGAAGGAGAAGGAGGAACGCACGGGCAGTCCAGGAAAGGGCAAGCAGGGGAAAGGGACGGAGAGGACTGCTAGACGCCCGAGTGATACTAACGAAGGGGCGACTCGGGAGGCCGCCGCGGATGGCGTGGCTCCGATAGTGGAACTGGCCGTCGAACTGCCCTCGGAATCTCCGGCGGGGAACGAATCGACGGTTGGGGAAGCATTCACCGGGGGGAAGGCATCGGCGGTGGGGGAGGCATCGGGTGGGGCGGCGGAAGACGAGCAGGCGATGCGGGGAGATGGCGGGCTTTCGTTGGTCGCTGTAACAGAGGTGATCACGCGACACCCATCCCCCACTTCACTCCCCACTTGACCCCCATTTCACTCTCCACTTGACCCCCATTTCACTCCCCACACTGCGACCTCTCCCATCCTTCCCCCACTTCCCCCACTCTCGCCCACGTGAAGGATGATGCCCCCTTCACGTCTCGGCGCGTCCCTATTCCGCTCCCCTCACTCCCCCCCACTAACCCTCCCCCCTCTCCCCCCCTCTTCCCCGCCTTCTCGCCTCAACACGCTCCGCCCTCACCTGCTCTTCCCCAGCCCCCCATCCGTCCCTGCTTTTTCCCCATCCACTCCCTCCAACCCCTTCCATGTGGCAACGCACGCCCATCCTCGCGCACGCACTCCCGTGCCCTCCCACGCACTCCCGTCCCCTCCCACGCACTCCATCCACCCCTCCCACGCACTCCATCCACCCCTCCCACGCACTCCATCCACCCCTCCCACGCACTCCATCCACCCCTCCCACGCACTCCATCCACCCCTCTCCCTCAGGGCGACTTCCCCTCTCGTCTCAACACCCCACCCGCGTCTCACCCACTTTTGCCGCTATCCCCTCCCGCAGGGCGACCTCCCAGTTCGTGTAAACACCGTCTTGTCAGCAGCACCTCGCTCACCACCCTTTTCCCCACCCCTTGGCGTCTCTCCCACTCTCCCTCCACCCCCCCCAAGCCTCTCTCCCCAGCGCGACCCCCCGTTTCGCCTCAAGACGCTCTGCGCTCACCCCCACTCCCCAAACCATTTCTCCAAACCCCTTCCCGCACCCCCCTCCCCGTCCCTGCCTTCCCCCCTTGCTCTCCCGCCTCCCCTCTCCCGCCTCCCCTCTCCCGCCTGGGCGATCTCCCGTCTCGCACCTTTCCCTCCCTTCCTCCCTTCCGCACCGCTCCAACGTGGCAAAACACGGCCGCCCACTCCCTCCCACCCCTCCCCCCCCCCCACTCCCGCCACTCCTCTCCCGCCAGGGCGATCTCCCGTCTCGTCTCGGCACGCTCTGTGCCGCGCCGTCAATTGCGGCTGTTCTCGCGGCGAGAAACGCGGCGCAGCAGGCGCAGACGGAGCAGGGACAACTCGGGCAGCATGCGCAACGAATCGCGGTCCTCTGGAAGGGAGGGGAAGAGCTTTTTGGCGGGCTGCCCGGGAGAGGAGAGATACGGGAATGGTTGGCGAGAGAGGGGGCGGTGAAAGGGAAGAGGGGAGGGGGGCAGGAGGAGAAGGAGGAGGAGCGTGGCAAAGGAGAGCAGCAACAGCAGCAGCAGCAGCAGGTGTTGCTGCAAGGGGTGGTGGACTCGTGGCCCGAGTTAAAGCTGAGTGATAAGGAGAGCGCCGAAAGCGAGATGGGCGGCATGACAGAAATCGAGGTGAGCTGCTCAATTCCCTCCATCCTCCCCCTCCTCCCTTTCTCCTCCACCTCCATCCAACCCCGGCCCCACCACTCCCCCACCCCCCGCCCCTTCACCCCCCCGTTATGCCTCTCTCCCCTTCACTCGCCTCTTATGCGTCGCACCGCTTCACTCCCCTCTCATGCGCCTCTCCCCTTCTCTTTCTTCCCCGCTTCCCCCCCTCTGCCCCTGTCGCCACAGTTTGCACTCCCTCTGTGCGCCAGCAGCGCCAGCATGCAGCCTCCTTCGTCGCTCAAGCTGTGGGCGCGCAGGGAGGTGGGGACAGTGGCGGCTGGCGGAAGCGGGAAGATTGAACTGGTGAGTTCGCATTGCCTCTCACCTCCTCTCACCTCCTCTCACCGCCTCTCACCGCCTCTCACCGCCTCTCACCGCCTCTCATCGCCTCTCACTGCAGTGCGGTATCGCTGCAAGCGCCCTGTGTGGATGGCACAAGGCTTCAAGAGTCTTAAATAAGAAGGTCACTAAGAACAGCAGGCACAAGCTCTCCCAGCTGTCGTTGTCTCTGCTCCCCCTTTCTCCTCTCAAAACCTCCCTAAGCTCAGGCCTAAGAGTCCTTCCTCGCTGCAAACAGCCTGCCAGGGAAGGAAACCCCAGTAGTTTGAATTTCGCCACCTCATTCCCCAACCAGAAGCCCTCAGGCTGCGCCGCCGTCCAAAGGTTGTGAGCAGCCATCAAGCGACCTCCGTTCATCGCTGCACGGTCTGCAGCTCAGCTGCTTCTCAAATCCCTGAAAAGCTTGCAGCCTTGAAGCCCCCTCCATTCCCCCCTTCCTCTCCTCCCTTTCCCATTCCCGTTCCCAGGCCCCCTCCGAGTCCTGCCTTGTGGCATCGCTCCAAACGGCCTGTCTGGGCGCCCTGCACCCTTCCCCAGCCGTTGCTGCCATCATGCTCGCGCACCCCGCCTCCGCCCTCGCCGCCCTCCCCCGCTCCACCACCGTCTACCTCGAGGCCAGCGCAGAAACAGCAGGAGCCTCTCTGGGGAGCCCGAGTCACCCGCTTTCGTCTCCTTTCTTTCCCCATGCCCCCTTCCCTCCCCCGCCAGTCCCCCCACGACTCCTGCCTCGTGACATCACTGAAAGCAGCCTGTCTGGGCGCCCTGCACCCCTCGCCAACCGTGGCGGCCATCATGCTCGCGCACCCCCCCTCCGCCCTCGCCGCCCTCCCCCGCTCCACCGCCGTCTACCTCGAGGCTGGCGCAGCAAGAGCAGGAGCCCACCCTGGTGCGGGCTGCCAGGAGGATTCGCCCCGGAATGCCACGCTGAGGTCTCTTGCTTGGAGGTACCTGCGAGCTGGATCCCCTTCTGCCGCTTCCTCTTCTTCCTCCTCCTCCTCCCCCTCCTCCTCCTCCTCCTCCTCCTCTCCCTCAGAGCCCTCCCCACCGTCCGATTTCACGATCGCAGCATATGAGCCATCAGATGCAGAGTTCGTGGCATCCACGTTCCACCCCCTCCGAGCCCCTCGGATCCTCCCTGTGACCGCCCTCCGCCTGGCCTTCTGCTCCGCTCTAGACCTTTCTCCTGCTGCTGCTCCTGTTGTCCCTGCGCAAGCCAAGGCCGGTGCTGAAGCAGCAGCAGTAGCAGCAACGGCACAAGCTCAGTCTGAGATGGATATTGACCTTAGTGTGATGAAGGGGCGCGTGGAGAGCGGCGAGTGGAGCTGCTTGCAGCTGCAGATGGCGGAGGCGTGGGTGCTGTCGGCAGCCCGCGGACTCATCCACACACACGCGTCTCTGGAGGCTCGATTCATGGCCGCCCAGGCCACCGCCGGCACTGCGAGGCGGATCCTGGCAGGGGCTACTGGCGGAGGTGCGGACGCAGAGGGAGCAGGTGGCGCAGCAGAGGGAGCAGAAGCAGCAGGCAGAAAGGATAGTGGCAGCATCAGAACTTCGTTTGTTGTGGAGCCAAGTGTGTGTGAGGCGCCTCCTGCGGAGTCGTTGAAGGGAGTCGCTCAGAGGTTCCTGCGCCAATTCATTGTGGATGGTACGTGGCTTGCCTCCTCGCTTGCATGCTGCCCTGCTTGCCTGCACACTCGCTTGCTTGCTTGTCTATAACTTGTTCCTCCTGCCATGGCTTTCAAAGCAAGAGAGGCCAATTTGCCTGCTCCTGTTGGGTTCTGCATTACCTGCAGCAAGGCTGAGCCGCAGCAAGGCTGAGCCACATCCGTAGCTCGTTAGTCCCTTCCCACATCCCCTCACCCATTCTGACCAGAGAGCCTCAAGACCATCTACTGCGTTGTGCCCAAGGTTGCGTGCACGAGCTGGAAGACCAGTTCCAGCAGAACTTGAGAAAAATCTTGAGGTGTACCAATTCGCAGCAGCAGGGGCAAGGCAACATGCCATGCTTCTCCCTTCATCTCTCCCCATATGCCCCTCCTTCCCCCCTCCTTCCCCCCTCCTTCCCCCCTCCTTCCCCCCTCCTTCCCCCCTCCTTCCTTCCCCCCCCACATACAGAGAGCCTCAAGACCATCTACTGCTTTACGCCCAAGGTCGCCTGCACGAGCTGGAAGACGTGGTTCCGGCAGCAGCAGCAGAAGCAGAGCAACCCTTCACCTCTCCCCGTATGCCCCCCCTCCCCTCTTCCCCTCCCCCTCCCCCCTCACATGCAGAGAGCCTCAAGACCATCTACTGCGTTGTGCCCAAGGTTGCCTGTACCAGTTGGAAGACATGGTTATGGCAGCAGCAGCAGAGGCAGAGCAGCATCTCAAACCTTTCCCCATGTTCCCCTTACTTCCTCCCCTCCATCCCCCCCCCCACATGCAGAGAGCCTCAAGACCATCTACTGCTTCGTGCCCAAGGTTGCCTGCACGAGCTGGAAGACCTGGTTCCGGCAGCAGCAGCGGGGGCAGGGGCAGAAAAACATTTCAGACGTGTACCTCACGCACGACCACTACAAGAGCGGTCTGCGCATTCTCGCGTACCACTATAACGAGTACGAGGTGATCCGCCTGCTCACCCGCCCGGACTTCTTCAAATTCTCATTCATCCGCAACCCATACGCGCGGCTCGCCTCGGTGTATTTCAACAAGCATGTGAACGGGGGGCCGCCGTTCGGGCGGCAGTTCTGGAACAATATGTTTTTCCGGGGTATTACCCCTTACCGGAGGCTGGTGGAGCAGCAGGGAGGGAAGGATCTGTTTGGGTTCAGCGACTTTGCTTACCTGCTGCGGAGTGTGGAGGAGCGGTTACGCAGTTACATGGAGTCGCATGTGCAGCCACAGGTGAGGAAGGGGCGATGGAGACTGGGGGAGGGGATGTGGAGTAAGCTTCAGGGTTGCTTGTCTTGCTATCTTGCTGAGCCCTCTGCAGCTTTCTGCCTCTTTTCCACAACACCTGTGTGGCTCGAATTTGGTCCTTCAATTATCTCCTTGCCCCCTCTGCATTGCCCCTGCACCCTTCAAATTGGCTCCTTACATTATCTCCCTGCTCCCTCTGCATTTGGCCTGTACCCTTCAAATGCTCCTTATATTATCTCCCTTCTCCCTCTGCGATTGGCCCTCTGCACCCTTCGCTGCCCCTCTGCATCCACAGATGGACGTGTGTCGCTTTGACGCCATCAAGTTCGACTTCATTGGTCGGTTCGAGAACCTCGATGCTGACGTGGCGGAGGTTCTGCATAGGCTGAATAAGACAGACGCTTCTGGAGCATTCTCCATCGGGCTGAACGCCCATAGGACCAATGCGGAGGACAAGCTGGCTTCCTTGTATGATGAGGTAAGTGTAGAGCACCACCTGACCTGAATCTGGTCATTTTTCTCCTTATGCCCTCACTTTTGGCCTCTGCTTTTCCCCTCCAATGTTTGATTCAACCCTTGCTTCAAGCCTTTGTATCCTGATTAAAGTTGCTCCTTGTGTGGTTCGCTTGTTTCACAGAGAGCTTTTGATGATGCCTCACACCTATACGCCTCCGATTTCAACATTCCGTTGAATAATATTGCATATGATGTACCAGAAGGGCTTGCTAGGAAATTCCGGATGACAGTTTCAGAGAGCTGATAATTTTGACATGCTCTTTATAACATTTTGGTATGCGTTTTGCTGTCCACATCAGTTGAATGCCATCAAATTGAAGGTAGTATTATGAATCCTCCAGCCTTGCTCACTTCTTGCAGAGGGAGTCACTTTTAAAACAAGAGGTTTTGGAAAGTGAAATAAAATAATGGAGAATTGCAAGAACACGGGAAAGTGTACATCAAAGGAACCGACCACCCTTATTAGCCTTTGAGCAAAGCGGCCGTCACCTAGGTGCACCGACTTCAACCCATGCTGAGCATTCCCTAGAGTGTAGCCTAGCGACTCCCTTCAGGGCGTGTCCCGCGCATACGTTTGATTGCGGTTGAGAGAGATGCTTTGCGAGTCAGAAGGTTAAAATAGCGAATTGAAACGGTTGGGTAGGGTATTGAGCGGAAAACGTATGCGCGGGACATGCCCTCAACCTCAACTGTCACTCCAAGGCGCCATGGCCCATAGCTGGCGCACTTTCCGTCTCCCTCTACTTGGTGGCGCCGTAGGCGGCAAACTTGCAGTCGGGCGCGATGACGGACGAGGAAACGTAGTCGTCGACGGTGCCGTTGAGGAAGCCGCTGCCGTCCGCCTTGTCCACGTCCACGGGGCGCCGCAGCAGCGCCGCCAGGTGCGAGAACTTCACGGCGCGCGCCAGCTGCTCGGGGGTGTCGCGGAATGCCTGCCCCAGCACGCCGTGCACGGCTGACGTCACCGCCACGTCCGACAGCCACGTTGAAGTGCACCTCTGCCTTCTCGGGCGCCTGCAGCAGCGGGTGCGCCACGCGCGCGCGCACGTCCAGCTCCCCCAGCCTGCGCACGCGCACGCGGAACTGGTCCACGTCGAACGGCCCCTCCTTCGCCTCCGCCACCTTGCGCACCTCCAGCCCGCCCGCCGCCGCCACCGCCTTCCCCACGCAGCGGCGTCCGCGCTTCCCCGTCCACCTCCAGCAACGCCACGAACCCGTCGGCGCCGCGCTCCTGCTGCTTCCCCCTGCGCGCCACCATGCGCAGCGTGTGGTTCGCACCATCTGCGCCCATCCACACTATGCCTAACTCCTTGATCCACGTGTGCAACTCTGTCGAACCCTCCTTCCCCTTCACGGACTCCCCGCTCGCGAGCGCGGCGAGGGCGGGCGGCACGCCCTGGTAGCCGTTGAGGAGCATGTTGAAGCGGCGGTTGGAGAAGAGGCAGAAGGACTTGTCGAGGCGGCCCGTGAAGTCGTAGCGCGTGCCGTGCATGAACGTGAGATGCGGGTCGTTCTCGACGAGCAAAGTGCCGTTGCACCGTCACAAAAAAGTTGGCCCCCCAAAAAACCGAAGTTAGTCTCCGCGGGGCACAGGCGAAGCTGGCTCTATTTTGCTTGTTGGCGAAATGCAGCTGTGTGTCCCGGGCATGCGCATGCTTGCGCCAACCAGTGCGGAGCAGAACCCTATCGATGACTGTACCCCCCTCACCAAAGTCGTGTGAGGGGGCTTCGGCGAAAAGGGGCGGCCATCCTGATGCTGCCAGTTTTGGGCGCCAAACAAGTTATGGCGTTGAATTTCGTGAGCACATGCCTACAAAAAAGCCGAGCCCCTTCTGATTGGTTGGCCTGTGCGAGGACAGAAATTTTGGTTCACAAAGACACTGTTACAACATACAATAGACTGAACTTTACAACCTATACACTACGAGTGCTGCCCTGTAAACGAGTACATGATAGTTCGCTTGCGAGAGCATTATTGGTGTGCAGTGCCTACGAAGCCAGCCAATAGCATGCGCCAAGAGTGCGCGACTGCTGTGGTGCTGGCACAGAGAGTATCGACCAACCAACTGAAGCCAAGGCTGGGCTCAAATGCACAAGTATATCTCAATACCCTACTAAACCGTTCTCACCTATCTTTCAAGAACACGTCACCGCGAACAAACTTACTGCACCGTACTACTAGAGGGCACCACAACTTACCCAGCCTTCACCTCATAGCTTTGCACCCATCGTTGTGTTCCTCATTCCATTCCTGCTGCCTCGTCTTCGCTCTTTTCTCCCCGCGTTATCCGCCATTTTCGCGCTGTGTAGTCTAGTGGAAAAGTGACGTTTGCTTCGTAGAGTGTCTCTAAGTCTGATTCTCCATCTAATGCATTAGTATTTATCTGTTCGTGCGCAATCCTGCCTTTTCTGTATTCAGCCATGTGCCTAACTGCAGTTTCATCGTTCTATGTCCAATGTCCCTGCTGCAGGTTTCCAGCAGGTTTGCTCCGCGGCTTACCCATCGCAGCATGGTCTACGGCCCGTCGGCAACCCGCGCGACCAGGTAAGCGCATTCGTGTTTCAGTCAGCCATTCGCGATGCCTTCTCTAATTTTCTTCCCGACGGTAGTTTTGCAGGCTGGGAAGAATTCTAGCCCGCGATTTTGCTGTTTGGCCACTTTTCATTTTGAGCATCATCACCCCTGCATGTCTACCACAACCTGCAGTGTGATTCGTCTACGCCAAGAAGGCATTTCAACAGCATGCTCAGCAGTTGCCGCGTCAACCTGGCTCGCGTCTCCGGAATCTGGAACTGAGGCCCTCAACATGACTATCGGTAAAATACTTGTTGCACTCTACCAAGGATGTGTGGATCGCGCTTGTGCTGATAAGACAAGGAGCAGGAATTAATAGATCTAGCGGAGTACGAAAGGCTGAGCACGCCATAGTGCCCGAGACGACCATAATTCTGCTGGGAATGGTAGTGCAAGGTGCTTGGGTTGGAGGGCACTGGTACGTAAGTGTGACACAGGCAACGAGGGTGGGATGGGGAAACACCCAGTGGCAAGTAATGAATGAAAGCCGGTGGCAATGGTTTTCAGGGGAAGCAAGCAAGCAGCAGTGATTATGGGAACGCCAATGGCAATGGCAATCAAGGGAAGCAAGCAAGCAGCAATGTATGAGGGAAAGCCAGTGGCAATGGCTTTCAAAGGGAGCAATCAAGCAGCAATGTACAGTGACGGAAACAATTGTACGCATGGTTTGCATTAATTAGGGTTTTTAGGCTTTACGACCACACATTAAGCCTTAAGGTTAAATGGTGGTACAATTTGGAGGGGGCATATAGTGGATTTGTTCACAGCACAAACTTTCATAATAGTACATTGGATCTAACTCATACCCCAATGGATATGCGAAGAGTACATCCGGACAAATAGTTCCAAGCACAAAGGGCAAACTTTATAACAACGTTTTTGGTACCTAGCCAACTGGCGTTTGGACTTGATCACCACCCGCACCCTGCTATGAATGTTACCTATGAGGTTAGTGCAAACCACGACATGGATCTTCTCGCACTCTTCCTGGACCCACCACTTTGCATGAGGGGGGTGAGCAGTAGGAAAATTGCGAAGGAGATGGGCGTAGGCAAGAGTATTGTGGTCGATTTCGGATTGAATGATATCTCTAAGACTAGACATGCTGATGTGTGGTCAAAGATGTCATTAGCCGGTCGGCTCCATCTTATCACGGATTGTATTCGTCGTACCGTTGTAGGGTAAAATCACAATCAGAGCGGCCAAAACTAGCGTAGACACCGCGAAACTGAGGGTGACGTAGCAAGGTTGAATGTGCAGCCTTGCACTATTAAAATCACACTAGGATCCGCAGGTCTAGTCGCGGTGCAGCAGTCGTAGAAGCCACGAATTTCATGGAATAATATCTAGGGCCGGCTGCAATTCGTGTAGTCGCATGCTTAATGGACACTTAATGTTCGGAAGTATGTGACCAAGATCAACTGCTTCTGCTCCAATGACCGCGCATTTGCCTGGATTCGTGAAGGCACAACCTTGCAGCGCCACCAAATCAAACAGACGATAAACCATGGGAACAAGGCTCGGTGATGGTGTGAGAATGTATGATATGTGTGAGGATGAGGTTCATACACAAGATCGACCCTCGATTTCCACAACATTTCCCCGTCTGAGGTCATCTTGGTGTGGATAATGACCCCAAGCATTTGTCATGCCTAGAGCAGGAATGACTTGGAGAGCAAGAGTATGTAGCGTTGTAGTTGCCTTCTTCCTCATCAAACCTCAACCTCTGGGCTTACATGAAGAGGGAGTTGGCCAAGTATAAAAGGCCTCCCTCTAGAACGCTGGAGTTTTGGGAGCGGATCCAAAAAGAATGGGAGAAGATCCATGCTGAGGTTTGTTCTAACCTCATTGAAAACATGCCTAGGAGGGTGCGGGTGGTGATCAACGCCAAAGGTCGGTGGGCTAGGTACCAGAAACATTGGTATAAAGTTTGCCCTCTATGCTTGGAACTATTTGTCAGGATGTACTCTTCGTATATCCTTGGGGGTATGAGTTAGATCCAAGTACTATTATGAAAGTTTGTTCTATCAACAAATCCACTATGTGCCCCTCCCAAATCGTACCACCATTAAACCTTAAGACATAATGTGTAGTGGTCATAAAGCTTGTAAACCCTAATTAATGCAAAATATATGGACAATTGTTTGTCACTGTATATGAGGGAAAGCCAGTGGTACAATACGAGGGGAAAGGCAGTTCTTTGATGTGGTGGAACAAGAGGACAAACCTGTCCACGTGTGGGGGTGGTGCGCAGCGTACAAGTGGCTTTCGCTCAAACGTTCACCACTCTGTACTGCATGATTATCTTATCAAAACAAGCCGAGAACGCTATGAAAAATGTATTTTTTTTAAGTGTTCACACTTTCAAAACTGCGTATTGTGAATGCAAAGCAGCTTGTAACGCAATCTCAAGCATCGTCGAAGCGCGCTATTCGCCCTTCTCCAACCATATAATGGGGTGCCCCTGGCGGTTTTGCGAAGCAGGTTTTCACGCTGCTTCTGCTTAGCTGAGCGCGGCTGAGTGAGAAAAGCTCTGATTACCAAGTGTCAGAGGATCGAATGTGTCGAGGAAAAGTTGCACTATCGATTGATACAAGGCGCTTTTATACTTTCGAAGTACATCAGGTAACCTGGTTTATCCAATCCAAAGGGAATAGACCCTTCTAGAAATAGAATCACCCTACATATAGCCACGCGAGGCTATAAGGGACTACAGCAAGATTACGCTAGATA